TGCGGGAAAATAACCAACCCGAGTAAAATGCGGGAAAATAAAACGATTTAATTCAATTGAGCAGACAAATCCTCCTGCAACAGCAACGCATGTCTTTTCGTACAGTTCAAGCGGGTAAACCGTTTGCAAATACTGTAACATTTCCCCTAAATAGAAGGGGCCCTAATTCTATAGCTTTACAGGATCTAAGACGGACGTTCTAACAGGGAGATTACTTGGAGTAACATACTTCTAGGTATTTATTCTAGCTTTTAGCTCACGTGCTTATTGAACGCAGATTTCAAAACATGTCATGCAGAACTTTATATTTTTCTTGATCTTGCACCTCCAGTCTAAGCTTGAGCCTCGACAGAAAACTAAGGGCTCCAAGTCTACCTTGATCTCATATTTTTAGATAAATCTTGTGCAATATAGTCTAGGTTGCCTGAATAAAAAAACTGTATAAAGATTCGGCTTTATTTGCAAATTTACTAGACTAGATTTGTGAACTGGAGAAATGTTAAAACAGGGTTGGTGGAAGAAATGGTCAAAACAACGAAAGAACAAAAGCAAATGGTTATGAATAATTTACACCAGTCATAATTAATAGGAATAACACATCAAGTTTTGTTATTGTGATATTGTGGCCTTTTTGAAGAAAGGTAAAACATTATTGAACAAGAAATGTGAAAAATCCAATATCCGAGTACCACCAAAACAGATGTGAAGAAAAAGTCCAGACAAGGCTAAAGGGCTGTCTGAAATGCTTGGGGCCAGAGGGTGATAGTGTAAGGAAAAGATGGAATTAAAAGATGAGTTTGAAAAAAGCAGATTTTAGGTTGGCTGTATAAATATAAAAGATATAAAAGAAATTATCAAATTGTGCAACTTAAGTATGAAATGACATTAAGCAGATTCTTAGATGAATAAATTGTAGGAACTGGTCATACCCCCTGTGAATAGTGATTAAAAAGAAATGTTTTCACTTTGTATTTGTATTTGTATTAACCTAGCATCCGAAGGTAGTTTTTAGGACACTGAGAAGCTTATGCTTATAAAGCACGAGCAGTGTCCTGGTCCTTCCTCTCCATGTGACCACTCCTTGTTGGTTCCTATGCCTGGAATTACAGAGAGCTGGTGACTCTCCTAACTCTGGGTGAAAGTTTGGTCATGCCAGGGACTCGAACCACGGACCCTTGGGTCTGTAGTCAGCGCCTCTAACAACTGATTCATCCTCGCACCACTAGCAACTGAGACATCCTGAGTTATCCACTTTGTTGTATGGATCATTGCAGTTCAAATTTGCAACCTTAATCTCCATTCTTAATGCAATCATCAGGAAACAGTATACAGAGAAAGAGAAAAAGAAGAAGTGCAAGCTGCAGAAATTAAAGAAAAGGGGAAAGGGAAATTTACTGTGAATTCTTTAGTCCCCACCCTTCAAAACATTTGGTAACAGGATGTTCCAGAGCTAAGTAAGAACTAGAGTCAGAGCTTTAAACACTATATACATATTATCAAATAAAGGTGAAATATTTCCATCTGTCTTGCTTTGAGCTAGAGCCATTCGATTTTGGATTCCTAGGCAACTCCACTCTCTTTTTGTCTATGCTTTTCAACAGCATTTATGGGAAAATATACCAAAATTACATAATTATTTAGAAGGGCAAAGCTTCATGTAAACATATAAATACCTTTAAATACAGGAGATTTTCCTCAAAAATATAGCTTTGCATAGAAATTCAGCAACACATCCTGGAAATTGTCAAACAAAATCTCTAAAACTGTGACCTTTAGAGAAAAATTTGATGGATTAGAAGCTCCACAATGTTTTATGTGCCAATAAAACTTATGTACACTTTCAGCATTATGCATTAGCTAGACCTGTTTATAGCAAAGTTGAAAAAATAATTAAGACATTCAAAATAAACTGTGTACTTATGTCTTCAAATAGCCAAGGTCTCAATTCAATACCAGTTTCCATTTAATACTCTATATTGCTTTATGAATGATTTTACCTTATCTTTCAGTTTCTCAAAGAATCTGCAACTGCTCAATTGAAAAGATAGACCTACCAAGGCTATGTAGCTGCGTATACCATTATCTAGATTAACCTTTACATACAGGTTACATATAAAAACTTTAGTAATCTGACGCACCCACTTCATAGAAAAGAATAGAGAAAAGACATTTGACAAAAAAACATTTGAAAATAAAGAAGGGGATGAATCCTGAATTTTATTTGTTCTTCACATATGGAAGCTTTGCTCTTGCAATCAACAAATAAGCATGGACAAATAAGCATAGTCATTCGGTAGAAAGTCGTAAATTATCCAATTGGCCCCTTCAAATAAGAAGATCCCACCCACCATAATTTTCTGGTTAGAACCCCCCCATGCTGATGTCGAGAAAGAACTTCTCCCTATTTTTACAATGCTTTGCTTTGCAAAGTACTCATATTCTTTTTATGAGCAATATAACTGGCGCGCTTTAAATAAACTAGATACCACATGTGTATGTGTGGTGTGCGGATTTCTGTGCCAGGTAGGAAAACATGTATGATTTGAGGACGTGTCAATGCGACCAACGGCACATTATCAGCTGCGACCTGCGAGCGGAAGCATTTGAGCTGCGAGCAACGATGCCCATATATACATTACTATAGTATGGTATATGAATTTCTTGAAATTTTGGGTCACTGGAGGTGCGAGCACAAGAAGTCTAGCGTCGATGCGAGCATATGCAAGTTTTCCAGCCTGGTTTCTGCGTGTTAATACAAAAAAAAGCAAGACATTTTTCAAAGACATACCTTCAAGGCCGGTAAGTGTGACTAGTTTCCACATTGTTTGAACAGAGAGTGATGTCCTTTTAATTTTAGAAATTTATGGTAACAGCTTGCAATGTCATTGTATATTGGTAGGGGCAATTGGAATGGAAAGGGCTTCTTACTTGTCGCTTGCAGCTTGCCGCCATATTTCAATTCGATGGTCACGCAATGCTCTGTTGTGCTCCTTCGCAGTTTTTGTAATACTCATTGAAAATATTACTCCCTGGAATGTTTACTTGCAACGCATCTGCAAAAATTCCGTTGCAATAATTGTTTAGTATTCTAAAAGGGGTCGATATCGAAATATGCATTTTCGATGGAGGAAAATAGTCGTGTCCATAAGTAAGAAAGCAATTTCAGCTTTTCAATAATATAGGCAGGGGCGCAGTGGCTGGGGGGGCAGGGGGGGGCAGCCGCCCCCCCTGGCAAAAATTTTGTCGGATTGTCGGAAAATCCAACGTTTGTCGGAAAATTTGAAGTATTAGACAAAATCTAAGGTTTTTATCGATCCTGTCCAAAAGGTCGCATATTTTTTAAACCTGTCGTAAAATAGGGTATGCTCAACCCTTCTTACTTATTTTCATTAGAGTATTTATCGGAATCATCGCATTGCTGAAATTTGTAACGGAAATTAACGCTCTGGTCTCAGTTATTTTATAAACTCTCATTTCCGACAGTTAAAATTCAACTCAGTTCATTTCGAAATGAATTCGCTGATGTTGTAGAAGACGCAAAAAGTTAATATATTCGCCATGACTTAGAAGAGGAAAATTTTGTCGAGCGACGAATACGCAGAGAGAAAAAGATGCCAGGGGAAAATTGCATAGATGAATTAGAGGGAAATAGGGAATCCGTATATCATCGTGATAGTAGATACAGCTATCAACTCAATGGATACAAGATTCACGTCTCATAAGGCAATTTTGACACATTTTGCCTTGCTCAACCCTGAATGTTTTCAAAAAACAATTGAAAGGCAGTTCTGTACAGTGTAATTCAAAATTAGGAGATGAGTACAGCTCTTTCGCCAATAATTACCATAAATTTTGGAAAGTTAGAGAAAAGAGCAACCCTCTCCCGGCTGCAGGAGAAAGAGAAAACTTTTCAGTTCCATTCAGTTCTTCAGTTGATGATAAGTATAACCTGCAAAGTGCCTTTCCACAGCTGGTCCTTCTTTACAAGGTTCTCGTCACTTTGCCAATAGGTTCAACAAACTATGAAAGAGCTTTTTCAAAGCTGAGGATTGTAAAAAAATCGGCTACGGTCAACGATGGGACAAGACCGCCTTTCCTCTCTGATAACAATCAACGTCGAAAGTGATATTTTACAGTCGATAGACCATGGTGACATCATCGATTTGTATGCTGCCACACCTTTTTGAGAAAGATGCTGCTTCAGTAACAGTTTATATAAATTTCAGTTAAAAGAAAACTATTCTTTTGGACGCGTTATATCTATTTAAGGTTTAGCATAAATAAATGCAAAGTAAATATGATGCGATTTAAAATTTGCCAAAAAAAACTTTTTGCTATAAACAGCTATAAACATTAACTTGACAGTTTATTGTCTAGTATAGCGAGAAGACTTGTAGGGTGTAAATTTACAACTAGTTGCAGTTTTGTTTATAGCGATTTATATTTGGTAAGTTTTATTAGAATAAAGGCTATTGTTGAACTTGAAGGTGTATAACGAACGATCCATTCGTTAACGATTTCCAGATCCATTCGTGATATTGTAGTATCATGTGTTGCAGTATATGCAGCAAGGGTAATCTTTAAGGAATGTATTGAGAAAAAATTTGTCGGAAAAATCATAGTTTTATCGGAAAATTTTCAGCTTTGCCCCCCCCAAAAAGTTAACTCCCACTGCGCCACTGAATATAGGGGAAGCATATGCCTCTCTTCCGAGGAGACTGGGCCCGAAAACCTCTGGGTTTGTCTCAATGTCCTAGGCAACATTTAATGGAAATTGTAACCCTACAATAAACTTTATAATTGCTAGATATCATTCTTATACTTTTAAAAGCTGTTAATAAAATTTGTTGTTGAATGAAAGTAATTTGATTTATTTAATTCCTAGCCTGCGTGCAGAGTCTTGCAAAAATATTTTTGAACCTGATTCCGATTTCACTCTCGGGATGTCATTTCCCGCGCTTTAAGCGCGCAATGCATTATTCCACGCTAATCTGTTTCAGTCCTGTCAAGTCATGGCAATGGCGGAAGAGGCACTTCAGTAGTGATGTTTCTCGCTCACTTGTAGTGTGAAGTAATGGCATATTTTGACCTAGATTACGATGATTATGATGAGTATGGATATTTTGATGTCGATGAAGAAGACTGGTGGGATGAATACACCTACTATCGCGTAAGTTTTGAAATATTGATGAGGCCTACCCACTGTACGGATGTATTGCGAGTGGCCTAACTGCCATGCTTATCCTGCCCAAGAGATTTCCTCACTATCGTGATGCTCCACCTAATTAACTTTTAACACCGAGAATAAAAGACTAGCATATGTACAAATACATTGAAAAAAATACTGTACATGATTGCATTTTAGACTAATAAATAAATAGTATGAATATATCTGAGCTATTGGAAAATTATACATCCATTCTCAACTTGAAAAAGGTCAAAAAGACGACTAGACTTAACTTTCCAAACAAAACAACTGAAACTTCGTGAACTTTCTTCTCTGTAGGGCCATTACTCAAGAGCACCCTCTTTCACTAAATCACTCAGCAATTTTAACAAAATCAGGAATTGGTTGACAAATCTAAAAAATTTGAAATCAACTTAAAATGGATATAGAGAGCTAATGCTTTAAAACCCAAAACAATATAGGAGGTTAAAAGAATCCATCAAGAAATAATAAAGAGCTGATTTATTACATGGAAATACTTTTGAAAATAGCAGCTGCTCCTAGCAATGCATTAATAAACTCAAGCAATGCCCAAGTTGCCCATTACTCATCAAATTTAAACCTTGAAACCTTATACATCAGAAGGTTTAGTGATATCTAAAATAATGAACAAATATAATTCTGATCTGTATAATTAGTGTATCTATCAAGCCAGCTATTTATAAATATGTTGATAATAATAAAAACGCTTAAAGCATCTGTAATGTTTACAAAAACCGTATGATCTTGTTTTAAGGTTCTTTTTTGTACTTTCATGTCAAATGGAAGCAAACAATTACAATGATCTTTTGTGCACTCCAAGAAATATTACATACCTAAGTAAATGTGCTTTGTTTATGAATTTTATGTACATCACAAAGGTCATATAGACATTTTTGCCAGATGAGCGCAAAAGGTTCAGGCCTGGCTGTTTGAGGTGGGCAATCACCTGTCTGCGCCTCAACACCTTCCTAGATTGCTTTAAGTGCAACATGTTTGTCACATCTTAAACTTATATTTATTAGGGAGACTTTATATATATATATAGCATGTTAATCATTTAGAAATATCAAGCATTATATTACAAGCATTAATGTAAAGTTGGAAATTTGTTTTTGTTATGTTGGAAATTTTGAAATTCGTTATTGAAATATTTATAGAATTTTTCAGATGATTGTTTCTATTCTAAAAAAACTCACTCAACATTAACCAATATGGTATCACTCACCATCTCATGTTTCAAATTAATTTACTTGTTTGTTTCATTTACTAGGAATGTACCGGATATCCGGTAGGCCGGATAATCCGGTGCCGGATCGCTGATTTTTTGAAAGTCCGGTTCCGGCCGGATTTGTTTCCGAAATCTGGCCAGTTGCCGGATTTTCCAGAACTTTAATCATAACTAAGAATATTTGGAAAACCAAGTCAGACTCCCTTCGTACAATGATTAAAAATGGATTTTCCAGAACTAAACAATATCAACGATAAAACAAGCGCCTTGAAAACAGATTTGAAATGAAAGTGCTCGTCATAAAAAAACAGGAAGACTGGATGATATAATTCACAAATTTGGTCCAGGGTTGCCAGATCGGCTTTTTCGGCCAAATTTTTCATTTTTGGTTTTTAGATTTAGATTGCCTCGAAAAATTGTTTTTTGCTTACTACTTAAATTTGACCTTGTTTGCCTTTTCAGCAGGCGTCCAAAATTAATGAGTAATTACTACATTCATGGAATAATTAGTAGTTAACTACAAAGTGTTAACCAAATTTCAAATTTTATCACCAGGCCTCTCCGTTTAAGGCGCGCGATCACGCGCGCGCGCCTTGGCACGCTCCTATCGTTGCCGAGACGCGCAATAAAACACGCGCCTGGTTTATAAGAACCCTTTAAATTGCGCTCCTTGTGTTTTAGTTTTGAACAATTATTATACCAAGAGCCTTGCGAATTCGAAAGCGATTGATATCTAAATAAACGGTTGCTTCTTTTAATCCCTCTTTCGAGGAAATTGTTATTGCCAAGTTAAATCAAGCACCTATTGAATATATTTCCGGTCAATAACCAATAAACTGTCATTAAGATTCCTGATTGTTATAAGTTTTTTAAATTGCCAGTAATTCAAAGGGTCAAGCCATAGAGCTATCTGCCTTCGCAAGTATCGCAAGGACGAAGTTAGCGGATCAAAGACTGACGATAGGAATGGGAAGACAATGGTGGTTTCGATTTGGTGTAAAGTTTGCTCAAAACACAAAAGCGTTATTTTATCAAATCCTCTTTGTAAAGGAAGTGGCAGAAAAGCAATTGAATATTACGTCAATGGAACGAATTTTGATTCTTCCACTTCTTCTGACTCCGATTCTTCATCGGAATTTGAGCTGGACATTGACGAACTGCAACAATAATGTTTTCTTTGCTTTTAGTGCTCTATTAAGTAGTTTGTTTAGATATTTCTAGATACAGAGTATTTACATGCGAAAACATGCCGTTTTTGTCTACTTTAACGTAAATATATTTTTTTGGTAGAACGCGCGCCTCAGCAAGGCGAGGCGCGCGTTTGAGCACGCGCCCGCTAGAATGCTCACGGAGAGGCCTGTATCACCTAACCTAAATATTATCTTGATATCAGCAAAGGGTTTTGGAAAAAAGTAAGATTCTTATCAAAGTTAAGAAATTATCTAACAGGCACAAGCGTAGAAATATAACCAGTGCCTGCTCGATGGATTCTTGAGAGAGTTTTTGATTTGGCCTTTTAATGAGCATTTTGGCTTAAATTGCTCACCAGTCTAGCCTTCGTTTGTAAATTCAATCTAGCAACCCTGAATAGGTCTCTTTGATCTTCTCGGTATACATTTTTTTCGCAAAGTGGCTCGAAACTTTTTATTACTGAAAATTCTATAAATGGTCAGATTATCTGGTAGAATCCCGCCGGATATTCCACGAAGAAATCCGGTAAATCCGGTTCCGGCTTGATTCTGAAAATCCTGATCCGGTACACGCCTATCATTTACCCTGATGAAGCCCTGTATGCCTGGGCGAAATATTAGTATTTCTTCTATTTAATTTATTTTGAATTACATTGGACTCTCGTTGCCGTTTTGCTTTGCTCCTGAATTTTAGCTTCCTATTATATATAGTTGGAATAATAGGTGTTTATTCAGCTTACTGTCATGTCATTTGCTTCGGTTACAAAAGATGAATTGTGGTTCCCAATTTACCGTCTTGCAAGAGCAATCAAACATTTGCATGGTTTGGGTTGCACAAGTGCTGGCGCGATTGCAAGTGATCACTCATCAGGGCCTGTATCTACTTTTCCTGCATCCCAACAGAAATGTTCCCACCTAGAAATTTATCTGTTTATTTTCAAATGCCCGACAACACTGAGTAGAGGTTACTTAAATGTGTATATTTACAGTTTAGTAGCAGCACACCAAAAAGAGATCAAGTTGATTGTTTATATATATATGCTTTTGTGAAATTTAATGTATATTTATCCACCTATACAATAGGATGAAGAAGATGCTTACAAGAGTATGTACTACTCAAAAGTTTTCTACAACCTTCCTGACAGCCATTTCATCACTGATGTCAGTTTGAGAAAAGATTACTTGCACCCAAGTTCAGTTGAGGATGTTATATCATATGAAAAGCTTTTCTCAATTATTGCAAAAATTGAGAAGCTGTTTAATCTATGGCAAAAGAGGCTGAGTCATGAATGGAATAAAGATGTAAAAAATCCACTGTATGTATATTTGATAGTATATTCCACACTTCTCCCTGTTTGTGTTACTTCCATACTTCTCCGAGGGGGACAACAAATCATAGAAGTATTCCATATTGCTATGATTTTTTGTCCTTCTCGCATGCGAGTTGCTATTTTTTTTGTTTTTTTATCTATCTATTTCATTCATATGCTTGTTCATTTATTTGACCTTCATTAAATTCTGGTTTTCCTTCCCTATTTCATGTTCTTTTTGTAAAAAGGCTATTGTTTGAATACAAAGTTTTTTACCAATTTTCTGCCCTATTTCTGCTTTCACACCTAAGGGCACATAATATTTTTGGCAATTAAAAAGTTCAGATACTCAAGGTTTTGAGTCAAGAATGTAGATATTGTATATGGAAACATATAAATGTTCTTGTTTTTTTTTCCTCTCTTTTCTGAATTTTTTTCATATAAAAAAGGATGAAAATTAAAGTTCTTAAGAGATTAATTGGAATGAAAATTAAACCACTCTTCGGCTATTACCAATTTTGTTGTATATTCTGTGTTTTCTTAACATATTTTTTATTTCTAGTTTCAATGATTGTGGGGATCATTTAGTTGCAACTTTTCAAAGAATAATAACATTATCATTTCATAGTTATTGTAACCATCATTCACATATTTTTTACATTTTCTGTACCATGTAATTTTGTTAGTTGCAATTTTTCTTCGTCAGAAAGTTTCAAATTGTTTCAAATCTTTGTAGGCATCTTTGTAATGGAAATGACAAGGATAAGACAGATTGTGCAACCACTGAAGAAAGTACAGGAAAAGGTTACTCAGTTATTACCTTACTAAAAAGCATGTTTTTAAGATCAGAATATGTTTTGAGATTTTGGAAAACGCAGCTTAATAATGAAATTAATACTCTAAGTATTGCTACTCTTTCATTTTGTATTTTAGGCTATTATTTCCACTCAGATATTGCATTGTTTATGTTCATAGAATATGGCAGCTTTTAAATATTAAAATGGGCAGCCTGTGGTGCTATAAACATCAGTTGTTTTTGCTTGCTTGTTATTCAACCACGATTAAGATTGTTTAAAGGGAATTTAAACCCGCAGCATTTCACAAAAAAAAGCTGTCAGCTGCACCTTAAATATACCTGTGCTACAGACTTAACTCTTTAAGAGCAAGTAGGTACAGAATATTTCATGTGGTCCATGTTTACTGGTCTCAAAATTTATGAATTAAGTGTTCTTTTGAAACAGCATGCATCTTATCCACTTTAGCAACATTGGCTTTTTAGATATTTATTTTGATTAATTTCGCCAAAATCAATGAGTCAAATCCTTGGTGTATAAATTCCCCTTTTGATACCGAAGATTAGAGCTACAAATTATTGAATCAGGTCACTCAATTTCCAAGAGTTGTAAATTTGGAACTCATTTCAGAAAGAAATCGAAACAGCCCAAAATTCAATTGAATTGAAATATCTGATTAAAACTTGGCTCCATGAAAATAGATGCATTTTTTGCTTTGCGGTAAATGAATTGTATTATACAATCCCTGAAATTGCTTCATGTTAGTCTGAATTATTGTTTTTCCACTATTTTTGCATCTAACATTAAATGAATCATTCAATGCAATACAATACAATATAATACAAAGTGACTGATTACTGGTCCATCATAAAATGTTTGATGTTGTAAAGGCAGAGCTGTGCATCCTTTTTGTGTATTGGACAGGAATATTCTAAGCTGCTAATTCTTGGTTTCATTGTCTCGATGATCACATTAGGTGTGACATTCAGAATAGTAACTTATAACCACCCTGTTCTATTCAACAAAAGCAACTTGTGATTAATATATGGATAAATATTGTTATTTGGCAGGAGACAAGAATAAAGACGAATCAAACCCTGTTCCTGCTGTCTGTCCACATTTCTTGGAAGCTGTACAAGTTCTAGAAGAATATGGAATCATGCATAACATTTTTTCTCCAATGCTGTCCGATGACGAAGATGTCTATGATTTGTTGGGCCATTATGACAGTGATGAATGGGATTCCTCACTAGATGACATGTATTTTCCTGCTGTTAAAGCTGGGAAAAGTGCCAAAGAGAGTAATGATGCTAAGCTTAGGTATCTATGTTATCTTGTCTAGTACACAGCAAGTATGTGTGTACAAACTTTCTTTTACGTGAATTACAAAGCTAAGTATAACAATTTTTTGCAGCCAGGTTCACAAAACAAAAAAATCAGAAGGCTAAAATCCTAATAACAAATTATGCACAGTTAGAAAGTCTTCAGGCTGAAGTAAAAAGTAGGAGAAAAGAAAATATACTTACAAGGCAATCGCTATCACTTCATTATTCAATATTCACATATGGCCATATGAGTCCCTTTATTTCAAACTATATTGAGCATTTCTATTGACCATTTTATTGACATTTTTAACAAGTTGTTTTGCCAAAGAACCCAAGTCATCACAACCTAACAAAAATTCAATAAGTCCCTGAAAGAAAAAAATTCTGGAAGATATGAAGTCACTTTGCCCCTTGTGCTTCAAAGTCTATGTATGAAACATTTTAATTTTTAAATGAAGATTTCCTTTAATTATACTTTTCGTTTAGTGAATAATTGCCTTTAATTATTAAGATAGTAGAAATTATCAGGGCTGTCTATAAAGCAAGTAATTTCCTAATTTTGAAACTTTCCTTGGAAATGTATGTTGAAATGAAGCTCAACCTGCCCTTTTTGTCATAGTTTTATCATTCTTTTTGTCATTTTCTTTTATATGTATTTTATATTGAAAGTGAACTTATAAAGATATAAAACATCGCTGCTGTATTAGATTGGTTATTTATTATATCTTTACCTCTCAGTTGACAAAATTGTGCGAATACCTTCAACACTCAGACACTTCTCACTTATATTTCCCTCACTTTGTTAGGTACCAGAAAAGTGCAGAGAAATTTTATGCTGCATTTCCGAAAGAAGAAGACGCCAAGGACGTTCTAAATGACTTGACGAGCATGAAAAATTGGATAAGCAGTCTGTTTATATCAAGCTTAGTTCGAAACACTGGAAGACTGCTCCCCCATCTTGTGATGGAGAAAATATTTGAAATGTTGCTTAACAATTACGGTGAGCCACAAATGAAGATGGGCTCTATTGCTAAAACAAAGCGATTTGTTGATGTCGAGAATTTAAGGCGGAAAGAGCTTTACTTGGCCTACTTGGAAATCCACGTGATTCTGTTCGAGATCTTGTTTAAAAATCAAAATATTTCTAGTACACTCTACCTAAAGGAACTTGTAAGAAAACTTTTTCAAACTATGTTACATAGATTCACTATGCTAGAAGAACTGGTGTCATGGCTTCAGGGTGATTATGTATCGGTTCCTGAGACCCCAAAAGGTTTCATGTCTGGACGCTATTACTGCAAAGCTTTGAAAGGCTCGAGTAAAGACTTTGATTATCTCCATACATTCAATGATAGCTGTTCAAGCTTAAGTGGGCAACATTTGGCTGTACTGCTCCGTGGTGTATCAAAAGAAGGACTAGTGAAAATCTATGATGTATCAACATTCGAATGTGTGAAGAGACACTGCATAGATCGAGATGACTTCGCACTTTCAGTGGCTCTTCTAGATGACCATTTTGCATTACTTTTGAAGAAGAATGCTTGTTGCTGCATTGAACTTCACACTTCCCACAGTATTTCCTACAGAAAGCCATCCGTAGTTGAATTAGGCGCGTCTTGTAGAGATGGTCCCAAAAGACTGTTATTTACCAAATTCGAGAGGGAGAGGAAGCTGCTAGTTCAAAAAGAGGATGACGTAATTATCGTAGATATCAACAATGATGGCGACGATACCACCATGACTATTGAGAAGGTTAGTTGAGGTTGAAACTAAATCAAGTTTTCCATTTCGATCCTTAAGCTGAATTAACACTGGACGCGTGAGGTTTCTTCGACATTTCGGTTCGAGAGGTTGGCCAATGTTTTGAGAGGAAGACGATTCTCTTCAAGCATTCATTAGAGAACCGACATTTTTATTGATTTTAAAGATTTGGAAGGTCTACTCCAATTAGCAAAATGTTTGACTTTATGGATTCATGGGGTTTCCCTTCCTGCCAGAATTAAACAACTAATTTTTATCAACACTCCCCATAATTTCCATAAATTAAAAATTTCTCTCAGAAGTACATCTTTGGAAGGTATCGAAAGCTTAACGGGGAGTGATTGAAATATTTTTTTACCAAAACGGAACATACGATGACCGAACATCATTGTTGAATTGAACATCGACGAGGCAACTTTATAGACAGAGACTCTAAATACGAATAATACTGTTACTTATCATAAACTAATAAATGTGATTTTTTTTGTTACTTTCAGAATTTAGCCTCCTTCCTCCTTCCTTCTAGAATGCTTTAATCAGAGAGACTCATCAAAATATACTTTATCGTACAAGCAATACAATTTTATAATGGCCTATTTCAGAAGCTCCTTGTTTACGTTTCTGGCTGTCATTATTCTCTAGGTCTTCTATTGTTCTGAAGCCTCACCGAGCGTCAAAGTTAAATTTATTTAACTTTGACGCTCGGTGACGCGTGGCTGAAGAAACGCGCTGCGTGCGGATAGCTGCCGAGAATGCTAACCATATTTGGTCAACGTCATGACGCGCCGCGCTGTGATGCGTCCAGTGTGAATTCAACTTTAGTTTGAATTCTTAGTATTCTAAACAATATACCCTACTATATACAATATACAAGTAACAAATTGTAGCCGTCCTTAACAGTCCTTATCAGATATTAACAATTTTGCTTTCTATACTGATTTTAGATCCTGTAACAGATCAGCAAAACGTGATTATTTCTTCAACTGTTAAAGCGTCTGGAAGTGTTTTCTGGTCTTGATTTTTAAAGCTTCGAAGCCACTACTGCTTTTCAAGCATTTGATGATATTTCCTTTCGATTTCAGACTTTCTGCTCGATGGAACTTCTTGGAGTAAAGGAACGATATCTGTTTGTCCGGCAAGGTGTCAAGGATGTAGGTTACTTTAATATTGCATCTTCTGCAAAAGTCGACACTAGTATAAAAGTTTTCGATCTGAAATCAAGCGCTCTTTTAACTCTTATTCCGAATCCTGATAAAGATAGTACTTTGTACCCTAAAAAGTGGTCCGTAGCACTCGATTCCGCACCCGGGAGCTTGAAGTTTGCCATTTGGATTGGCGAAAGAGTTGAATTATGGGATTTGGAAGGTAAGATAGAGAAGAAAAAGGAATTTGGTTTGGGCAAGCGACTGAATAATGGAACCAAATGTGTTTTGAACGGTGATATTTTAGCAGTACAAAGCATGCAACATAATGTGGACAGCAGTTATGATTCAGTCCAGTTAACTGAAACTCTTTTTTATGACGTGAATTCAGAAGAGATTTCTTATCATGAAACCTATGACAATTTTTGGGAGCGCCCGCAGTGTCATATATCTATTTCCAGCGGTCGTGTGTATGGTCTGCTTATGGGAGACAATGTATTGGTTTCCTTGCATTTTGCTGGTAATGGCGGTGAAATGCGAATCTGTAATTTTGGTTTGAGTCAAGAGAAAATTATTAGCCTCCAAGTTGTTGAATTGATGGAGAAAAGAAGAGAGGAAGAAGTTAAGCGGCTAATCAAGGAGGCTGAGAGAAAGCGGCAAAACGAGGAGCGCATGCGCAGAAAAGAAGAGCAGAGACTAAAGAGGTAAATTTTCGTTATTACTGAATTTTTTCGATGTGTTTTCAATTTTTATTATTTTTTTGAATGTTAATTCTTTATTTGTCTCACTCATCATTTCTTTTCATTCTAATTTTAATGGCCTTTCTTTATCATTTCATGGATTTCTTAAAATTTGGAAATTCTTTGCGACCTTAGTATCTATCTGGTTTTTGGACAACTTGTTTTGACATTTGCACTCTTTTTGCATATATTCTCAGACTGAATCTATTTAGGTATATAGACTTAGCTGCCATTCACTAACGGGTGTAAACACTAAGATGTTGTTGTTTGTTGAAATTCTGATTTGTACTGAACGAATCTTATGCACTCATAGAGTCCTTTTTCAACCGCGAGAATGTCTATAAATTTTATCCAAGTTTTGCCTGAGGTGAATTTTGGTAAATGGCGACTTGTTCCAATAGTTTCTTGAAGCGTTAGATTGATAACTAAGTTAGGATATACTGGGGAAAATCAAAGCGAAGATGAACCAAGCAAAGCTGTCACTTGACGTGATATATGCCTTTCCACTTTTCTTTGCCGTTGCTAGTTTACCCTAAGTAATGACCCTATGGTTTATATCATTACACCTTACAAATGTTTTATCATTTTCCATGTCTCAGATTCATTCGTCGTTATCCAGGGTGAGGGTTTCTCTCTGTGTTAAATACACTAATTTTTTTTAATTCACGATTTATCTTTAAAAAAGGTTCAATAATTAGCTAGCAAAATGTTTGAAGACCATTTAATGGATAGGGTCAGTGGAGTAACACAGATAACGGCACCTTAGTTCGATAACTTAGGGGCCCCGATCAAGAAGGGCCCTCAAATTATTTTTACCACTATCTTTTCATGATTTGCTCAAGCGCAACATATTTTCAAAATCTTTAACAGTTCTTTAATTGAAGATTCTATACTTCAGCTCATCCCCCCCCCCCCTAAATAGAAAAATTATAATTTGTATATTTTGCTATTGTGTTTGCCTGTCCTGTCTCTGCTATTCCTTAGGGCCCCAGATCTCCGTTACGCCACTGAACAAGGTATTACATTTTCGACGTCTTTTGTGCTTTTAGACTTGAAAAGAAACGCAAACAAAGAGAGGCGCAGCAGAAGAAGAAACAACAGGCTGATACTCTACGCAACATAGCCAACACTGGAGCATTCGTAATCGGAGAAATAACAGAATGGAGGATCACGTACGGGTTTTTGCGCATTAATGGAATTGGGGATGCCTTTATACATATCAGTGACATTCTAGGGCGGCCGCGCATCAGCCCTGGATGTCGCATTCGCTGCAAACTTCAAGACCAAATTGGACATCCACGACCAAAAGCTGTGCAAGCCAGTTTGTTCTAGCTTCAAACATGGCTTTTTGTTGGTTTCGATCAAGGACTAGCATTTGGTACCAGGCACTTTTTGTGCATTTGAGTTAATTCTTTCTAACATAGATACCAGATTTAATGTTGGTACTTGTTTTCAGAAGTTCTAACGTAGTATTAATCTTGTCTTATGATAAAGGTAACTTAAGTCATCGTTTGAATAAAAGTATCTTTCTCTTTCGGTGTTGCCCCCCCCCCCCTCCCCAATAGAATTAATTGATGTTGGTTACCCAAACAAATTTCAAAAAACTGTATGCCACAACCAGTTTCCTATCCTGTGGAAAACAAAGGTTGTGAATTACTATTCATTGACATTAATTGACACTGATTGTTGGAAAGAACTTTTATGAATAACAAAACTTAACTTTTATTAAGTTACTTCTAGAAGTGTGTTAAATACCGGTCAAGCTTTTTACCAGCTATCTTGGCTCTTTTGCTCTATGTGCTGTTTTCAATGTTCTCTAGGGTTATACCTCAAGCCTCATTATTCGCTCTTTTATTTGCTCCTCTTCTGTTGGCCGTTTTTCCAAGAATTACAAGTAACAATGTAGATAAGAATATTTTCATATAAAATAATCAAAAATCTTTAAATTTGATAAAGATGCATAACGAGTAGAATAACGTAGCAGTTCTGTTTTGTTCTCCGCATGAAATTGCCTTTTCGAATTGGAAGGTTTCTTTCCTCTTCCCATTTTGTCGTTCTCAAGCTTTTTCTCATTTTTCTTACTCTTTGTTATCCTAGCTGGTGTTTATTTGCCAGGTTCTTTGGCACTCGTATAGGGTGCACTGCATGTGCATTGTAGTGCAGACTTATAAGAGCTACGATGAAATGATGTAGTACATTTGGGTGTGGATAAAAGATTCCTTAGATGACGATAATGTCATAAAAATCTGTCTTTAGAATTTTTTTATTTGAACATATGATATGAAATAAAACCAAAAATACCAATAAATTTGTCGAAAGACTTGAAAATATTACTAAATGCTTGTGATTTGGCCACGTGAGTACAAGCTCTTTTCCTTTCAAATGGCAGTTATTTTGTTGTGGTTTATAACGTTCGTGAACCTGGACAGAACATTCGAATCTAGCTAGCATCTTTCATTGGACATCAAGGATTCATGCATTCACATTTGTAAGGAACTCTTTGTTATATGAATATTATAATGGCCCAAATCAAAGGGTTTGTGATAAGTCAACAATTAGACCATGAAGTTTGCTTTGCTGATAATTATTAGACTCATAGAAATTATTTGAAAAAAATATGAGGTTTCTTGTTTGTTCGACAATATCTGGCAACTTTCTCCAATAGTTACTATTTGATTCATCGTTCTCCCAATCACACTTTTTTATAAGAATGCTATACATTTTGTCCAGCCTTGAGGTATTCCTATTCTTTCAAATTTGATATGGTTTCATAAGAATATTGCTTACACTGATAAAGAAACCACGCTTTTTGAAAAGACGATATTTGTCAGTCGTGCGATTCTCTTTTGATAAATATTGCAGAGCATGAAAATCGCAAGTGCTGTAAAATGCGACAAAAATATGCGAGCTGAGGCTGAGCAATATTCTTGCAATATTCTTAAGAATTGGATGGTTCTAAGCCTGAATGTCCTTGTAAACAATATTCTTATAAAGAAAAGTATATACAGTATAATCCGGTTATAACGTACTTTAAGGGACCAGCGTATTAAGTACGTTATATCCGAAGTACGTTGTAACGAGGGTAAGTAAAAATTGATTAAAACCAAGCACATCTTTTGCCTGGACCAAGCACACCAGTACGTTATATCCGAAAGTACGTAATAACCGAGTACGTTATAATGGGATTCTACTGTAGTAAAGTTCCCTGTAGTTCTACAAAAAGGGTACGACCTTAGCCATCCTTTATACCTGATGCAAAGCTTTGTATTTTAAGGATTCTGACAAGAGTTTCAACAGTCCGCAACATCTTTTTTTCTAATCTTATTGTAATTCGAAATACAAAAAATTTTAGGCGTTAGCTCGCGGTATTTGTGCGCTTTGAATCGCGTTATTTGTGCGCTTTGAATCGCGTTATTTGTGCGTGCTAGATCACGTAAAATTTTCCACTCCAATGGCAACGCAATTCAGAATTAAACATGAAGAATTTGACGCAGTTTATCGCGATTTAACGCGCAGTCTTGGAAAGAAAACTTCTTGATTTCAAAATCCAATTTTGGGACGTGACAACATTGGATCGAAGAGAGCTGACAGGAACCTCGTTTTGAAGATTTTCTTGCAGGCCTGTTGAAAATGGCTTCCCCTTACAGATAAGAAGTGGTAAAAGAATTTCTCCTTTAAAAATTTCTTCATGTTCCTTGAAATTTATCTGTATCTCAACATCAGGTCGCGCAAATTTTAAGTGGAAATGGAGTCGGGGTAAAAATTAGCGCACCGTCGGGATATAACAAGCTGAAATAGCGTGGGTCAACGCCTAGTGGAAGCCAAGATATACTGTTCATGTTACTGTTATGACCCCTTAAGCAGCATCCTACTGTAATTATCATCATTTCAAATCCTATGACATCACCGGTCGAAAAAGAGGCTGGTAGATAACGCCGGGAAATATATCGCCGGAAAACCAGTTCCCATTGTTCTGCTTTCAAGCGGACAACCTGTTTCACAACAAAACAAGATGCAGTTTGATCATAAGGTCAATGAATCCCTGATCCGTTTTTGCGCTTGTGGCTACGGCTGACGGTTTGATTATTATTTGATCTTACGTAATTATTCATCAACAGCTCTTGTTAGGGCCATAATTCTGCTGGAGAGCGAATTTGGTAGCTTTGCAGGTTTTAAGTGAGAATCCTAGCATTAATTTTACATTTATTTAAAGAGTTGGATGGACAGATGTAAGAGCCGAAGGTTTGGAGACAGGAACGTTTTGCATAATATGGAAGGAATCAAGCATCAGTTAACTGCTTTGGTTGTTTTGGCTTGTATTGGCCTAAGTTTTTCGAAGCCAGCGCAGAAAGAGGGTAAGTGATTTGTAATTTATTCTAAATAAATGTGCAAACAATGAAGCAAGTTTTATGATAAAAATTTTTTTAGAAATCAGCACGTTGCTAGAAACGATAGCACCATTTTGTAAAGCTAGAACTCTAGTAAGATAAAGGTGGACATCATATCAAAGCAAATTTCATAATATATTTTAAAAATGAATAGGAAGGATATGAATATGGACAGATTAAGTTAAGAGGAAAAAAGAGAAGCAAAATATTTGTGAGAAATTTCAAGATAATTGCTCAAGGTATTGTTATAGCCTGGCTTGATTTGAAAATCATTAGCTGGCATTAGCTTTCCTTGGAAACGATGTTCCAAGGGAAGAATTGCTCTCTCAGAAAAGCATGTCATAAACATCAGTGAATCAGGCAAGAGGCTACGTTCCCACATCATTGAGAGCGAATCGGACTGTTGGTGCATCGTCGAAGGTCGCTCAATATACCATAATCGTCTGTCTCTGCAGGGGATGAATAAGAAAAAACCCCTTGTCATCACTTAGAACCTATGAACCAGTTTTACTCAGTGCCGTATACGATGGGGAAATGTGGTTCTGGACAACTCGCTGTCTAAAAAGCAACAGTGTTGTGCCTTATCGGTCTTCCCGATTAATATGCAGATGTTGATGTAATGAGAATTACTGTTTACCGGTCTGCTATCATCCGGCAATGGTAAATTTGCCCCAAGATGAGAAGACATCAGTTGAGGGTACAGGTTAGCAGATCCATTGCACTTTGATGTCATCGAAAGATGTTTGATTGCAATCTAAACAAAAAGGCGTTCGATCACAATATAATCAGGATATTCTTCCCTATCTTGACAGTATTTAGGGCATGGCTGTGCAGATAATCACATAAAGGAACAGAGCAAGGCTTCAGGGTTGGGAAAGATTGAACAGTACTCTTTCATTGTGGCTTCACGAAGATTGAGACCTACCCTTTGCTGAATTTTTAGTTTAACCAAGGGAATGAAAATGGCTTTGAAACAATATACGCCTTTACCTAGTAGTTCAACTCCAAATCGTCGAGATACCAAGAGACTTTCCAGCATCAGCAAAAGCTCAAAGAATGATATCCAAGTGAATTAATCAAGAGAAAAACGATCCTCCTAAACTTAGCTCTTATGAAACTTCATTTGATCATCAGAAAGCTTCTGTAAATTTCAATGCCTTTTTCAAAGTCACACAACTCTAAATGCTTTGCCAATGTTCTCTCCTTGCAGCTGCTAAAGAATGTAAAGAGCCTATTGGTATCCAAACTGGTTTCTTGGAAACCCGAGACATCAAAACATCTACAGCACAGAAGAATTTTACGGTAAGCGATGCATGGTGCTCAACCCAAAATAATGACAAACAGTTTTTTGCGGTGGATCTCGGTGAAGATTTTCTATTCACGAAGGTTGCAACGCAAGGAAAGGTTGATGACATGAATAGATTCGTCAAGAGTTATGAGCTTCAGTTCAGTAGCGACAACAAAGATTGGAAGACATATCTTGATGGGAAGAAGGTAAGGAATAAAGAAGAAGATTGGAAGACATAACTTTAGTAGATACTTGAACTGCTAAGCTAGTTTGTAGATACTTAAAAACCTGTGTATAACAAGCCCGGTGAAAACCATCTCGTTGGGGGACTAAGGACTTGTTTGTGACCTTTCGAGAAAATCGAATGACCTGAGCATTTTTCTATTTCCCCACGTTCCCTGCAAACTGAGAGTTTTTAGGCCCAAGTCGGTCTTATGTTCCAGTTGTGGCACAGCATCCCATCCCCTGCCTGTTCAAGACAAATTTTTCTGCCCCTGCCATATTTATCTGCTATCCCCTATGAAGAAAAATGCCAGCCGGGCTTGTTACATTTTTTACACAGGGCTGTGTTATTGGAGCTATTCGATCAAGAAGGAATGCAAGCTACATCGCCTTATTTGTTGCAGTGGAGCAAACTCAAAACTGTTTATGTTTTTAATGGTTTGAAACTCTGAAAAGATCCCCCCCTCTATACGTTTAGTATTTTATTAGAAATCCGTAGAAAAGATGTTCCTGTTACGTTGCATTATTTCTGTGCTCAATTTAGCAATCGCTCCCTACTCTGATTTCTTCAATCCTTTTGACGCACCATTCCTTAACTTCCTCAAGTTAGCATGACTTATAATTTTACACCTTTCATGAGTTATGTTCTCTTATCATCTACATATTTCATGCCATTATTCTCCTTGATCTTGTTTGTTACAGTCGGTTCTAGAGGGCAACAAAGATACATTCACTGTAAAATATCATAAATTTTCACCTGACACAATTGGACGATACGTTAAGTTGCTCCCCAAGTCTTGGAATAATGGAATATGTTCAAGAATGGAACTTTACGGATGTGCAGGTATGTATTTGTATATCTTCAAGACAACAGTTTGCAAATAATCGCTCTCAACTAAAAGTAATGAAAGTATTATCAGGATTGCAGTTATTTATAAAAAAAACTTGAATTGGTTTTTCTTAAAAATAAATATATATCCAAGATAACACACACTCTTTGATGCAGGTTAGCATGAGGTCTATTTGCAGGAAAGTTATTTAAACTCGACTAAAGTGTTTATGAATTTACGTAAAATTAGTACATCAGCTTTAATTTTACAACAGTGATTCCTAAGCGATTCACTATGATGAGAAAAAATTGAATTTGTAAACATCTCTTATTTTCTATTGCTTTTTGTAAACATAAATACTGAAGTTTAATTTCATTACATTATTATTTTCTTATAGTTGAAGATTTGCAAAAAGCACATTCGAGTGGAAAGAGCAAAACAAAAGAACCGGAGAAGGTTCCTGTGGTTGCTTTGGAACAAGCCGCCATTCAAACCCCGGCACAAACAGCTGAGCAGGCCCCTGCTCCACAAGCGGCACAAGCCAATGTCCAGACACCGGATCAAACTGCGGATATAAAAGACATTGTACCGGATGCTGTAAATGCAAACGCAAAGGAGGTCCCGAAAAGAGACTCAGAAGCAAACTGGAACTTCATTGCTTCGGCCGGTAATAACGATGCTGCCGACAACGCCGACTTACTGGAGCTCTCAAGGCAGCTAGGTACGCCTGCACAGAGGTAGAATCAGCTGTGAAAACCTGCAGTGCAACAGTATCCCATAATGCTTGTGAGGCGGTGCCGAGGAATATCAACTTACTGTATACATAGATTTTCTGTAAAATTTTCATACTTTAACGAAGACGAAAATTGTAGCAAACAATTCCTTTGCTAATCTTACAACCAGATTTACATATATATGTAAACCTTTTTGATATAGCAAAAACTTTGCTAATTATACAGTACTTTGCCATATTGTTCAGATTCAGAAAGCTTTTAACTCTGGCCCAGACGGTGCCTACATAAGTTAAAGATACAGGTTTAGGAACCCCCCATCAGTTAAAAGGGTCTAGTCAAGCTGTAGTCATAAGCAAAATTGTGGCTTAACTTAAATGCCCTTGCTTTAGATTCTCGGGCAAAATTTTGACAACGTTTTCGTCATTTAAGATGTTTTTTTTTCATGTAAAACATCACTCTGAGTTTAAACTTTTCTCACGTTTGAGATTAAAGATAGAATCTGAAATTCATGAAAAATTAGCTGAACCACAAAGTAATGTTTACCAATTTAAAAGAATGATAACTTGACCACCCTTATCTTACTTTAACTTGAGACAATATACATGGAAAAAGTTTTGTTTATATTCACTAATTCACGAGAGTATCATCTTCAACGGATTTAATCGATATCTTCTTTGGATTTGATCGTATTGGGTAACAAGGCTGTGTAATATTTTTTGATTGGTAGATTTAAGTACAACTTTCATACCTTTTTTGAAATACTTTGACATAAATTTAAGTAAACGTTATTTAAAAACTTGTGAATAATATTGTATATTCATTTGTAGCTTGAAAATATCATAATTTCAAAAAGTTATTTAAGAATTTCTAACGATCTATTTCTTGTCTTATAAGTATGGTATATGTTCAAAGCTCAAAGAAAACTAAAAGTGTTGACTTTATCAATTTAATCGCCTTGTTAAATGTTGTCTCTTATGCATCAGATACCAATGCGTTGCTTGCTTTACAAAGGCCCTTTAAACGAGCTTTTAGTGTACATCGGAATGGCGATCAATGTAGTCACTAAGTAAATCCATCCATCGATTAACGAAACTAAACTAGTTTTTTCTTATGACTATGTTCTAACTGAACTAACTACAATACAGGGCGTATACACATAAAACGAGGGGACACTACGAAAGTGTTGTTGATTACGTTACTGTGGATACAGAGACAATGGAAGGTGTTATGACATTGATAAAATGGAAGACATGATTATATTCGAATGGTCACTACAAGCTCAGCTCTAGGATATGAACACTAACTACGCTATGGCAATCATGGATGAACAAAATACCCGTATATGTTCATCAAGAAACATACATATTGGTTTGCACAAAATAGAAAATGTGAACATAAATATTGGTTAAACAATACATGCATCGTGGAAAAGGTTTAGGTCTTCCAGAAAAGAAACAACGTCTTGCCTGCAAACTACAATCATTTTTGTGCGCACGCCAAAATGTAGCTCTAACTCACCAAATAGAAAACCAAGATCGCTAGAAAGTATCGCAATACAGCTTTTTTATATCTAAGCACTTAACTTGCATAAAGAGACTGATAGACGCTTTTGAGTGAAGATGTTGCCATGGGCCTATGTTTACATATGTGTGTATACTGCTTTTATTGGCAGCCTATCACTGCTTGATTGGCTGCCAATCAGTGGATTTTCAGTCTTAACCATCTTACTTTATCTTATGACTCGAGAATACAATGTAATATACAGTAACTTAAAAGGTATCTGAAAATGGTTTCTAAATAATGTCATATTAAGACGTTAATTTCTACTTAACCTTGTTATGTTCGCACACGGTCATGCAGTGCAGCAATTGTTGTTGGTGAGAAAATTTCATGGTGGAACTTTCAGGCCATTTCATTTATGAAGAATCAAAGCAATAAAGCAAATAAACAGATCTTGCAGCTAATGCACGCAGTTAAATGCTTAGGTTAAAAGGTATCTTGTCAGGGCCCGATTCTGGTTCTTTGGGGCTCTAGGCCTAACATATTCTGCGGAGCCTTGAAGAGTGGCATTGTGATGACGTCATCAAACTCTACTCCAGAACTTTTTGATTTTGAAGAAATGACATCATAGAGCATTATGAAAAAGCTAAATCTGCTACAGGTTGGCCACATAAGTAAAGGCTTTCCTCTAACAAGTCACTGTACTTTGGTTCTGGTTCTAAAATTGACATAATTCAGATTTCAATTTCATTGCTTCCAAAACATTAATAACAATAATAACAGTTACAAGTAATACTAGAAGATAACATTAATATAATCTTTTCAATTTACAATGATGTTTTAAGGACACTGAGAATGGCCTTTTGAACACTGAGGTGTAAGACACAATATATTTGTTCAGGTCCTGCAATAGGTGTTTAGACAATGGTTTCTTGTATCAGATTAGAATCTAAGTTTCCATTGATTACAATATTTCAGATTACAGTCTAAGTCAAATCTAGCATTTTAACAAAATTCATGATCATTGGCCTTCAAACCTGGAAGCTAACATCTTTATAGCAGTTTACATACTAGGGTTACTTTATATTCAGCGTGCAGAAACTTTTGTGACCAAACACTTCAGACTAGCTTTAAACGCGTCTCGGAAAATTTCCTTGCAATCGTTTGAAACCCTTTACTATTTTCAGGCAAACTTTGGTATCGCATCTTGAATAGTTTCATTCTTGGAATGGAATTCATTGCTTTATGAGACCTCCTAGCCATCGGGGCCCTGGGGCAATTTTCCCCCTTGCTCCCTTCTCTCGGTGGCTCTCGTCAGGAGCAATTTATATCTGACTCTTTTAAGTTTCAGAGCTCGAACAGAAGTATTTGCTTGCTCACGCTTGCCTTATTAAAGCTTAAATACTTCACATAGGTCAAAAGATGAAGAAAGCAGTCATACTTCTATGACAAAAGTAAACCATTTTCATTTTGCGCAACGCTGGATTTTTCTGATGCTACAATTACAAATATTATTTTGCTCTTGTGATATCAATCCCCAACTAATGAGGCAGTGACGTGGCAGTAACGTATTCCCAACATAATAGAGTTAAATGTTGGAGCATGATCTTATGTCTTGAAGGACTTCTTTAAAGAACTGGACCCGCCTTTTTGCATTGTCGGTGTATTTTGTTCGAAGCTACGAAACATTCCCCAGTGTACAAGAGTGTGGATCCCAGCATGCAAGGCGCACAATGCGCGCCAAAATCAATGCATTCGTAAATTTTAAACCATTTTCATAAGTCAAAGGTCGTTTGGATGTTCACAGAGAAAGATGGACAGTCGCTCACATTATAAAATACCGTGTTATCTACGAGTCTTAATGCCAAATTATGCTGAAGGCATTTGAAGTATACAGTCTGCAATAAATCTGTATTAACGATGAAACTTGACGGTAAGTGATTTAGTACCTTGTACCAAATTGGCTTATTTCACAACCAACTTGTTGGAGTAATAGGTTTCGGATACTTGAATGATTACCAACTAACTTTCCTGATATAGAAAGCTTTCTGTCAATCATTTGAATTTGATATAGAAAAACCATTTGGCAACCTGTTTCTTAGGCAATTTCTCTGTTACATTAAAATATGTTTTGAAAAAGTTATTGTTTTAGATTCATTGCTAAATTAAGCATTTTTTGTTCATTCCCTTGTTGTGTTTGAATTGCTGGTTGCGGGCTTCGATAGACTTTCCACCACAAACATCAAATTAGCACTGTTTCAGTTAACCATATTACTTATTGTTATATTGATCAATAGATCCTTAGATCAATAAGGATTATTTTCATGCTGACATTAGACAAAATTTTGCCTAAAAATATCGCTTCTAGCCAATCTGAGAAGAAATAACCACACGATTAACCAAAATAAATAATGAGATGAACCAAAATAGTCACCGAGTTTATCGAAAATGGTGGAATGATTGATCCTAACTGATCACATTGTTTATTCAATGACTCAATGATATTGAACATTATAGAACTTTAGTGACATCATGATCGATTCAAAATGATCACACGATTGCCCTGAAATGATCACAAGGGTAATCCAAAGTGATCACGTGCTTATGCTGAAGTGATCACATGAGTGTCCTGAAGCGATCACATGGTCGATCCAAAGTGATCAGGTGCTTATGCTGAAGCGATCACATGATTGTCCTGAAGTGATAACATGGTGGATCCAAAGTGATCACATGTTTGTCCTGGAGTGATCACATGGTCGATGCAAATTGATCACATTGTTGATACAAAGCACACTTCTTGCGCTAATGTTTAGCCATGTAAATTCAATGAACATCTAAAAATATATTTTATAATTTCTCTATATGCTGCAACTTCTTGATTTCATCTGGGTATCTGGAGAATCACTTGGGAGAAAATTTTAGGCGCGCTACTACAGAAAAGATAAAAACACTTGTTAGAAATTGGAGTGGATATAGTTTCTTCTTAAAGTACTCATTCATTTCAATTTTCATTCATTTCATTTCATTTCATTTCAAATGCTTAAGGAGGGTAGCCCTTCAGCAATGCTGATTTTCAAGGGGCCTTCCACTTGAAATACTTACAGAAAATCTTATAAAAAAATAAATTATTCTAATTAAAATTCACTGTTTACAATCTAAAATAAATCCTACTCGAAAGTTAATATCAAAAAGTCATGCTTTTAATGCAAATATATAATGTTAATATCAAAATGTGAGTTGATTAAATGCATTTTCTTGTTCGAAGCTCCTGTTTTCGAAAGAAACCACCATATTTTGTGATCGTTATACAAGTTCGACAGTTGTGCCTTGTTGTCGGAATTGGATGGTAATTGATATTTTGCCGCCCCTGTCTCCTGTAAAATGCAATACCCACCTCTTGAAGAGATAATGGTAATACAGTAAATTCTCGAAAAACATAATGACTGCCTTTATTTGATTAAAAAATTTTTTTTGAGAAGCTTATCCGCATTTATAAATTTATAAGGTCCATAAAACAGGAATCTTGAAGTAAGTTTGCATGCTAACCGAGGTCTATTTGTAATTGTAGACCGATAATTGGCAATTTTGAGCTAAAAGCCAAACTGAAAATTTTCAGTTTGGTAAATCTAAAGCTCTATTTTGTTTATCTTTGTAAAAAAATTTGTATCTGAGAGAAATTTGTATTGAAGATCTTATGGCTTTTACCCGAATATAAAGAAAGTACTTCTTGAAATGGAGCAGGGGCGACACCAAGAAATTCAAAGTTGGGTGGGGATAGCTTGAGTTGATAGCATTAATGCGATTTATCATGGCTATTATTTTATGGGCACTCGCTATACTAGCGATGTACGGGATGGGCCATTGAGATGTTGGAGACCATAGCTACTAGTTAGGTTAGACTTTCCCAAAGTCCATTTTTGTTAAATCTGAAAGGCATTCGTACTACTGCGAGGGCAAATCCAAACTACAAAGGAGATAATTTCGAATTGTATCAATATTAATGCTTAATTGAACTATGATTGAACCAGCAAAAATATGAAGGCAGAGTGTTTACATCTGGGCTGGTGCTTTGGCTTTTATGATGATGATCAGGGGCGCAGTGGGAGTTAACTTTTTGGGGGGGCAAAGCTGAAAATTTTCCGATAAAACTATGATTTTTCCGACAAATTTTTTCTCAATACATTCCTTGAAGATTACCCTTGCTGCATATACTGCAACACTTGATACTACAATATCACGAATGGATCTGGAAATCGTTAACGAATGGATCGTTCGTTATACACCTTCAAGTTCAACGATAGCCCTCATTCTAACAAAACTTACCAAATATAAATCGCTATAAACAAAACTGCAACTAGTTATAAATTTACACCCTACAAGTCTTCTCGCTATACCAGACAATAAACTGTCAAGTTATTGTTTATAGCTGTGTATAGCAAAAAGTTTTTTGGCAATTTTTAAATCGCATCATAATTACTTTGCATTTATTTATGCTAAACCTTAAATAGATATAACGCGTCCAAAAGAATAGTTTTCTTTTAACTGAAATTTATATAAACTGTTACTCAAGCAGCATCTTACTCAAAAGAGGTGTGGCAGCATACAAATTGATGATGTCATCATAGTCTATCGACTGTAAAATATCACTTTCGACGTTGATTGTTATCAGAGAGGAAAGGCGGTCTTGTCCCATCGTTGACCGTAGCCGATTTTTTTACAATCCTCAGCTTTGAAAAAGCTCTTTCATACTTTGTTGAACCTATTAGCAAAGTGACGAGAACCTTATAAAGAAGGACCAGCTGTGGAAAGGCACTTTGCAGGTTATACTTATCATCAACTGAAGAACTGAATGCAACTGAAAAGTTTTCTCTTTCTCCTGCAGCCGGGAGAGGGTTGCAACTTTCCAAAATTTACGGTAATTATTGACGAAAGAGCTGTACTCATCTCTTAATTTTTCGTCATCCAGGCTGTAATTCTTCGCAACCTTTTTGAATTACACTGCACACAACTGCCTTTCAATTGTTTTTTGAAAACATTCAGGGTTGAGCAAAGCAAAATCTGTCAAAATTGCCTTTTGAGACGTGAATCTTGTATTCATTGAGCTGATAGCTGTATCTACTATCACGATAATATACGGATTCCCTATTTCCCTCTAATTCATATATGCAATTTTCCCCCGGCATCTTTTTCTTTCTGCGTATTCGTCGCTCGACAAAATTTTCCTCTGCTAAGTCATTGCGAAAATATTAACTTTTTGCGTCTTCTACAACACCAGCGAATCCATTTCGAAATGAACTGAGTTGAATTTTAACTGTCGGAAATGGGAGTTTATAAAAAAACTGAGACCAGAGCGTTAATTTCCTTTACAAATTTCAACAATGCGATGATTCCGATAAATACTCTAATAAAAATAAGTAAGAAGGGTTGAGCATGCCCTATTTTACGACAGGTTTAAAAAAATATGCGACCTTTCGGACAGGATCGACGAAAATCTTACTTTTTGTCTAATATTTCAAATTTTCCGACAAACGTTGGATTTTCCGACAATCCGACAAAATTTTTGCCAGGGGGGGCGGCTGCCCCCCCTGCCCCCCCAGCCACTGCGCCCCTGATGATGATGTAAAGATTATGGCGCAACTCGCCATTGCAAACAGTAGTTTCCACCGCCACCCTTATAATCAAAGTAAACAGGCAATATTTGAAAAAGGTGCACGTTTACTCCCCCAATGGGCCATTTCAAAACTCAATTTTGGTAGGTTTTATGACTCAAATTCTTGGAAAATTTCATTGGCAAATTCATGACCTCGTTATGAAAAGACGGTCAAAATGAATCCAAGTTGGAGATGCTAACGACTTGAATGCACTGTTGGATTTGGCTGCAGCTCCAGTTCATGGTATTGCTCAGAGTTCAACGATGTCGATGTTCCGAAAGTTTGCACGAGGAAAGGACTCAAGTCCGGTATGTGCTTTATTACTGAGTATGCTGATAAAACGGTGAAGAGAAGCAAATTTGAAAACAACTTTTTTTGGAATCGATCAAGGCCCATCAATGAGTAATTAATTCATCAACCGCACAACCCAGTGATTAATAAAAAATTTAATTGTGTTAGTTACTCACATGGTAAAAAAGATGACTAGTTATGGATTATTAGTCACCCACACATTCTAGGTATTATTACAATATTTCATTGACATTGAACAAGTCAGAAAATCAAAAAGTTGAGCGTATTTTGTATATGATATAAATTATTGAAATATTTTAAAATATGCCTGAAGTGCAATACTTACGACGAAAGTGCTAAGAGAAAAAGGACCAGACTGATATATCTTTGAGACTTTTGTTTTTATGCATTTTCAATCATATCTGTTATCCTTTAGGCAAAGCCTGTTAACCAATCTCCTTCTAAAAAGGATGAAAAGCCACAAGATGCAGAGGTAGGGTCTTGAAATCAAAGCCTTTTCTGTCCTTTAATTTTTAAGAGCAAGCTATGGTTTGATATGCATACACACTTTTTTATAAGAACCAGTAAATATAGGTTCAGGCTCACTGTTCTTGATTTTTTCAAAAATCTGAGAGGGTGTAAGCAGAACGATTGCTAGTTTTTTACTGAAGGGTGGTGTTCAAACCTCATTTGCAAGCAAAGTGAGCGAGACAACCTTCATTTGCCGACAGGATTGAATATTCACCGAAAAAGCACCCACACATGGCTAAAAATCCTCATTTTTCACATTGCATTTTACAGAAGCTCAGCCTCAGCTTGTTCTTAATTTGTTCTTAACATTTGAACAACTATTAGGTTTGTGATTAGAATATATATCAAAAATGTCTAAATTGGAGATACCTAAGTTTTCAATTTCTATATTAATTTGATATCTGGCATTTCAAAATTTTTATAATCCCACTTTGATTATTAATATTTTCCTCTTTCTCAACCTTTGGTGTTCATGTTTTCAATGCCAAGAAAACCCATTCCCAAGCAGATATGGCTGTATTTGCTTAATTTTCTTTGTTAAAAATGAAGTTGAGAAATTGTTAAATAGGGTTACGTTTTATCAAAAATTTTCTAGGGGTTTCTTTGCCCAATGTGTATGGCAAGATTGCCAGGCCCTGCAGAACTTCAAAGTCATTTTGAGAAAGTACACAGCGAAGGTGGTGGAAATGTTGCACAAATGCCTGATGAACCTGAGGTAATTTTAAAATTTACATGTTATGAAAGATTGTTTTCTGATTATTCATAAATTTTCTAGATTTTCAATATTAGACTTTGTTATTCAAGGCATGCAATTCTTTCCCCTCCCCCCCAAGTGGCTAACACATACAATTTTTTGGTTAAAGAGCCCCTAGTTTGAAGAACAAAGCAGGTAACATGCATCAACCAGGGTTTCATTTTGTTCTCACTCCTTTTGATTCACCAGAAATTCCAGCCCTCCTGATTGTGATAGCCCAACAGTAGGTTCTGTATTTTGTAATGTATTTTTATTTTATATTTATGTATAAAGGGATATCAAGATGTTCAACAATGTGCTTCAGCTAGTGCTATTCAAAAATCAATAAAAGTTATAGCAATTAGCAAGAATAACTCTTAAAGCACTCCACAATTAGTCTGCATCTAAATTTGGCCAAATCTTTGTGGCAGTGATCATAATGATGAGAAGGGTTTTTATGTGTGGTTGTAATTTCAGTTAATTATAATTTGATATTCTTTTATTAGTATTTAGAAACATATCAGGTGTCATGTCAAATGTAAAGCTCATAGTCAAGTGTAGAGTTTGTGTACAGTTCTATGTCTAGTGTTACAAAGAAATTTAAAATTGAATGGATTTTCTGGCCATCCTTAGAATGTCATATCTTCAAATGTTTCTCACTCTCAACCATGATAGTGGCCTTTACTACAACCCTGACCAATATACACATTTTCTCCCTCATTTTTAATGAATCTTTTCCCGTCCTTCCCATGGTACGAAGGTTCTTATCTCCCCTGCCACTAAACATATCAATGTATCTGGCTGCTCAACCAATGATTACAAACACATCAACCCTCGTCATGTTCAAATTGTGATTGATTACATGAAAAGACCAACTTAGATATTTCAAAGAGCCCCCCTTATTAATCTTTTACCACTACATCCATAAATAGAATGTCCCTATAATGAAAATCTATACTTGTTAAACAGATTTAAAGATTTAATTGAACTTGAGCAGTTCATGTTTTCATCATGTGACTGCATGCATATTTGGTCTTTCAAGCTGCAGAGAGGTATATCTGTGCAACAGGATAGAAAAGAGAGAGCAGCGCATCAAGCTTCCTAAATTATGATATATTGCTTCCGTTTTCTTTTTAATTTTGCTGTCTTACAATAAAACCAGGCTTGAAATTCATGATTGAAACCTGAATTTGTCTGCACCTTAAGTTTCAAACATTTATTCATTACTTGATATCTTATTTGATGAATTGATGCATTATCTTATAAGCAAATGGTTATTTTTGCAGCCCAATGTTGGCCAGCTAATCAACATTGCTGAGGATAATGTTGACTTAGGCCAAAAAGCACAATTGCAGTTCAGCTCCTCAGATTCTACAGATGAAGTTGTGTTTTTACAACAAGAGATGACTGAGCTTGCAACTGCTATTAAAGAAGAGAAATGGTACTCTGGGCAATTAAAAGATGAATTGGATAAAGTTTCAAAAGAAAGAGACAGATTGGAAGAGGCCAGTAGCTACATTTTCTCATAAATTTTCTTGTTTTTAGTAAAAATGTATGATATATATTGCTGATGTCATATTTCTAAAAGAGTTTTTCATTTTGTGGATATTATGTGTAAAAATTTAGCAAACATGAATTTAGATGGAATCCCAGCCCTACTAAATGTTATCACAAAAAGAAATCTATTAGATTTTTTTGACTCATTATGATCAACCCATGTATTGTACAAAAGAGAGTTTTTTTAGAAAACAATGGTTTAATTGAGCAGACATTTTTTCTGTTTTCATTGTGAAGACAATTGTCTTGGGGTTTTTTTTGCTTTTCTTATATTGATTATCATTTTCCACTTTGCTTTAGGAGAAAGAAATGTTTCAGCAAGAATATGATTCAAAACTCAGATCTGCTGAAGAGAGCTATTTGCAAGGTGAGCCTTAGGTTCTTTAAATTTTGACATCATTTGAATAATGTTATTGAGAATTTGCATATCAGTTGCTTTTTGCTAAGGTCCTTGTAGCTGTGTAGTCTACTTTGTTGTCTTTGTGTTTTTTTATTCTTTCACCAGGCCCTATATGATATCATTATTTTAATAATTTAGTTCATAACTTAAGTTTGTATATGTATGAATGAGAAGAACTAGAAGTCTTTAAATTAAGTAGAGAGCAAACAAATCTAAGAAGTGGAGTGTAAATACAACAGTAAATATATGCATAAAGAGGAAAGAAATTGAAGTACTTTGAAGCTTAGAATAAACAAGATGGGGGATTGAAAAAAGCAAAGGATATTGATAAAACAAAAAGTATTGGCCAATTCCAGAATTTAAATAGACAGCAGTGAAATTAAATAAGGGGTTTACCTTTCTGAAGGAAAAGTGTTGTCAAAAGTGTCTGCAACAACAACTGAGTGCATTTTCATTGGAATTTTTTGAGACAATTCATGAGTTAGGGATCTGATTGGCTGCTATTTTTATTTATAAGAATTTGATTTTGCCTCTTTCCTCTAGTTAAAAGGCTATTCTAAACTAGATACTTCATTATTCATTATGTTTTTCTCTCTACACAAATGGCACTCTTCAAACTGACCACTGCCTTTAAACTGCAAACTATTATATAATCCTACCCATATTCTGATATGCTTTTGGTTCACTTTTTCAGTTGCCAGTGAAAATGAAAAACTTAAAGATGAATTGAGATATGCTGACATCAAATCAATAAAAGAAAGGGACACTCGGCTGGTAACCAGAATTCCTTTCATGTTTTATGTTTTTTGATGTATGATTAGTACTTTTTAAGCAAAGCCCTCTTTTTCAATCAAAGGGAAACAAGTCTGATATTTGATGTCATAGTTCTTGTGACAAGTACCAATGGCATTGTGGGTTTACAATCAAGGTGTTTGGCATTTTTACAGGATGTTCTATTGAAAAACTTATTTTAAGTTCTATTTCCTATAAAATGTTTTCTAAAAACCTTGTAAGGCCATGCTTAGATAAACATACTTTTTGAATTTTTTATGCAACTACTATGCCACATTGTGCCCCACCGTGTTAAGACCTTGGCAAATCCTCTCCCCTTCCCGGTGAAGCTGAAGGAATCGTATTGCTTAATTCTTTAATGATTTTGGATTTACAGCAAAAAACAAATGAAAAGCTAAGCATTCAAATGGAATATCACCTTGTGTAACCAGATATGTAAATTGATTCTTGCTTAAGCTTCTAGTGTAGTGGATTCAAGTTAGCTCTAGAGTAAAAGACAACTTTGTGGAAGTTGAACAAGTTGTGACCAGCTTGTCTACAATTTATATGCCATAACATTATCCTACACTTCTTCAAATTCTAGAATGCAGATATAGAAGGTCTCAAGATGAGTTTGTCCCAGGAAAAAGAAATGAGATCTGCCGTAGAAGAGGCAAATAAGCATATGATGGTATGTAAAAACAAGACAAAGGAGGTTTTGTTACCAAATATCTACATATCTCATGTTTAAAGTAATTGCTTTTAGTTGAATTTGTCCATATCATTTCATCTTCTGGCATATTTTTTATGCAAACCATTTTCTCTGAGCTTTAGGGTAAGCTGGCTTATTTCTTCTAAAAAATACACTATTAATTTTGGGTGTAGCTTATTTTCATAAGTCAATTTTTCAAACATTGATAGGCTGACATGACTTAAGCAACCAAGCCTGTCACCAACCCTATTGTAAACCTTTACTCTGCCAAAAACACAGGTAAAGATCATAATTGTCGGAAGGATCTTCCAATACTTAAGATCTTTTTTTATGTTGCTGAAAAGATATGGCAATGCTAAAGTTACTCACAAGATTTTTAGCCCATTTTTGTTGTATAGTTGATTGATTCATTTTGATTGACTGATTCATTTTGATTGATTGATTCATTTTGATTGACTGATTCATTTTGATTGATTGATTCATTTTGATTGACTGATTCATTTTGATCGACTGAGTCAAAAATCAATCAAAATTTCATTTCTTATATGTTTAATATGGCTGTACAAGAGCATTGAAACAATAAATTGTTTATTCCATTTATTATTAGATGGAGATTGAAAGGAAAGACAAAGATATTGACGCTCTAAATGTAAAGTTAAAAGAAAGGTATTTATTATAACCGTTGGAAAACATCATTTCTCAGTACCCCTCAAAGTTTCCTTCGAAAACTAGGTAGTGGCGAATACAAAGATATCCGCACAAAATTAATATTTCTAGAAAAGCAAGTAATGTGAAAGGAGGATTGCCAAATGAGAAAAGACTGCTGCTAAATGATTTTTGACAAGCTAAGACTCTTTGATTTGGAACAAAGCACACCTATGTGAGTGTCTTGGGGATAGTGCAAACTAAAAGTTTTGACGTTAAAGTGTTTGTCCATCACAGTGTAAGTTTGATTTCATTAACCGATGTGGATCCTAATTTGCAAAGGTAGGAGATTGATAAAATGAAACGATAAAATCAATAGATGTTCCAACTCGTTTAGTTAGTTATGGTAAAATCTCATCTTGATTTCTTTTGTTCAAATCTACTTCGTAAACCCATCCCTGCTCATAATGTCGAAAGTAGCAGAAATTGCTGTAATGGTATTTGTAAGCCCTCGCCACGACATTTTATCTATTTTTTAGGATGTGTCGGTAATTTGATGGGAAAAGGTTGCTTTTTGAGAATTTTGCTGAAATTTAGATAAAGGAAATCTGAAAATAGCAAATTCAGTATTTTTTTCGCTCAAAATAATCCCTTTTGAAGAATCTGGCTTTTTAAACCTAGAAGTTGCAGGAGGAAACCAAGGGAGATTTTGCCTTGCCATTTTGTTTCAAACATGTTTTTGGGCTAAAGATTGTGCTTTTGGTACTCTTTAAGGAGAGTAAATGATTGTTGCACCTGTTAAAATGCCTAAATCTGGCCATAAATATATACATGATTAATGTACCAAATTTAAAATTATAAATATTAAAATTGGTTAGATAATGTATTTGATAATATCAGCTATATTAAAGTAAACTCCGTTTTCCGATTTTATAAGGCAAACATGTTGGGAGTTTGGGAAAGTACTGTTTAAATCTGGGAGAAAAATTTTCTTTCCACTCTCTAGTCGCTCCCCTTCAAGTCCAGTTTAGGTCTCATCACAATGCTATGTGTTTAACAAGATTTTCTTCTGTTGTAGTCCATCAAATGACAGAGTTATTACCCTTGAAAACGAAATTAAATCATTAAGAGAGTCCCTTCAAAACTCTGAAAAACAGAATGAGAAGAATTCAGAAGAAGAAATTGTCAAGTGGAGGAAGAATGTTGATGAGCTAAAAGTTGAAATTGCCAGGTAGGTATTTTGTTCTATGAAGATTTTTTTGAATATTTCAATCATTACGACACAACAGCAGCTTCAACGATGTCATTTTGTCGATTTTATCAAATCTTTAATTAAGTTCTCATAATTAACTTTGACTTGCAAATATTTGTACTGGAACGTCTAAGACCCTGCCAGCAAGAGACCGGGTCCAAGCTGTCTTATGCGTAGCGTGTACTTACGTTAATAGACCATCCAGGGCCATTTCTAAGGTGTTAACTAGTCCCAAAGAAATCCCGTAAAAATGTACTTTATTTATCTAGGGTTTATAGGCCTTATACGAGTACTTGATTAATCCTGGGAAGGATTTGAGAAACCTACTATTCATTGAAGTTCTGTTTGTAAGATTTATAAGTTTTTATTTTTGTAAAGGCAAGAGATTTTGATAAAGGAACTTGAATTGGAAAAAGCTGCTAAAGGGGAGCAGGTCCAGACGTAAGTGGCATTTGAATACTTTTTTAAAGGATGAAGTTTAACTACAGTATACACTTAGTGAGCAAATGTATTGCACAGGCTGCGACAGAAATGGCCGCACCGCAGCAAAAAATTTTAGCAAACCAAAATTCAAGTGGCCATAGTTAGTTTCATTAAAGTTACAAGATGACATTTTAACTGGAATATGTTGGAAAATTTATCAAGGTTTGCTGGTGAAAATAGTAAATGCATGCATATTCTTGATTTTTGTCTATTTCTAAACAATATCGACCTGTGGCAAAAACACAAAAATTGAGCCATGATGATTGAAGTACCTGTAAAACATTTGCAATGAAAAGTTCATCTTTGCACAAATAATGCTGCAAAATGCTTTAACTTGTATATAAGTCGGATCAATCTAAAATGTGCCATTATCGAGCTTCCTGTCTCTAGCTTTTACAGCTTGGTATGTCACGGTATAATAAACTGTCTTATACCGGACATAGAGACTTTATTACTGGCCAATTTCGATTCACAACTGGCTATATTATTTTCCTTGACAAATCTATTGATCATCAATCATAACTTTGAAGAGTGTCTTACGAAAGACTTAAGTTTGTCCTAGCATGATGGCATTTTCAAAGCCATTTTAAAACTGTTTTTAAAGACATTGGAAGATATCTGTTGACGAAGGATTTTCTCAATTGCCATATCAGTTGATTATTGAAAATGATGATCCTTAAAGTTTTTCTTAATTTCAGGGTCCAAAACACCTTGAATGCGGCACTTGAAACGAGCAAACAGTCCCAACAACAGACGCAAGAAAAACAACAACAAATAATTGATTTGCAGCATGAAACCCGAGAGGTAAACGGAGTATTCTCAGTTAATTGCTAGAATTTGATATCATTAACAGAAATATGTTTGTAGGGAAATTTAATTGTGAAAGCATGGTTTGCCTGAAATTATGCAACGGTTTGAATTATGAATAGTTCCTGTCGATTGTATTCGCAGTTTGCTTTGTTGAACAAAAAGTTTAATTAATTTTTCCACATTAAAATTTAACTCCGCCAGGAAATTTCTTGACTTTGTAGAGAAATTTCATTGTAAAAGCATGGTTTGCCTGAAATTATGCAACGGTTTGAATTATGAACAGTTGCTGTCGATTGTATTCGCAGTTTGCTTTGTTGGACAAAAAGTTCAATGAATTTACCACATTAAAGTTTAACTCCGACGTTTAAATTTATTACTTTTGTACATTAAGGGAAATGAACAGTAGTTCTTGATATCCAAAATTTTTTAAATAAGTTACAATACTGCTCACTTTGGTATTCGTTATGGAACAGCTATTTTGTTTGTTTTAGACAAATGTTCCCCCCGATTCATGCTGTATTTCCTGCTTTGCATTTTAGGCCCAAACGGCCCTTAAAGAAAAAGCTGCTTTTGTAGCTCACCTAGAGAAACAATTAGAAGACTCCAAAGTCTCCTTGGCGCTTGAGGTAGGGTGTTTCATAGCAATTTCTATATACAAATCAATTTAAGTGCTAGTCATTATTTGAGAGGAATCGAGTTACCTATAAGTAATAAATAATTCAATTACGAGGACAGGGAAAATGGAAGACTTCATTTTGATAAGGCTTGGGTTTCATTTAGACAAGCCAAGGATTAACCATCTCAATACTTACAAACAGGGGCGGCAAGCCTATTGTTTTAATAAGATGACGTCACATTTTCCATTGTTTTAGAACAAAAGACCATTGTCCTCTAAAGTTGCCCTCCTCGCCCCCCCCCCCAAGAGTCCGCCACTGCATACAAAATAAACCATCTCAATAGTTTATTGAAACTTCGATCTTTATGGAAGTGCTTAATTTTAAGAAGAAAATTAATCTTGGCCTAAATGACTCAAGGAAACCAATATTTTTTTATTTCTTTTGTAGCATCTAAACGAGCCTTTAAATGTTTGTTGTATTGAGCCCTATATGCCTGACATTTGCACCAAAAATGGTAGTAGAAAAAATTTTAAATGGCCATGAAAGAAGCAAACATTTTGAAACATTCCTAAGCTTTATGTCTGACACTATTCAATGTACATAACGTCAGGACATAGATCGAAAACTCTACGCTAGGAAATATATATACCCAGTTGTGGATCGAAATAGGCCAATCCAAAACGCGAGCTGTAAAGGTTGCCAAATCACTACCATTTGCCTATTAATATATTTTCGATGACGTCAAAGGATATATTTTGAAATGGGTTCACTATAAGCCGTATCCTTTCTAAATTTTCACACTTTTAAACCTTAATTTGTCAGACTCAAGAGAAACATGAATTACAGCAGAAGAACAGAAATCTTCAAAATTCATTAGATGCCGGCTCACGTGATTCAAATGAAAAAGACGCCAAGTTGAAGGACCTAGAGAACATGTTGGTGAACAAGAAATCAGAACTGCAGCGACTTGAAAGTGAAAGGAGCGACCTTCTTGCAAAGGTATGTGTAAAAAGCTTGATATGATATGCCTTAAAATCTTGCAACAGGCTAGAATTGCAAATCATTTATTTTTGTGTTTTGTTTGTAATCATAAATAAAGGGTTCAGTTAAAATCATATAAACATATATACGTTGTCTGTTATCTCCATGTATCTGATAATTAAAGGAATGGTTTTCCTGAATTAGGAGACAAGAAACAAAGACTTTTATTTGAGAAAATGGGAATTATTGCTTCGTTCCTTAAACTTTATGTATGAAATAGGCCGTTTTTCTTAACTTTATGAGAAAGCATTGTGTTTGTAACAGGTTTGTTTTGCCATGTATGATTTTCTAGTCAAAATTATGATTTTCTAGTCAGTATTACGTGCCTTAATGCAGGAAAATTGTTTATTTACAGTAATAGGTTTTGCTTCGTGCACTCAAGTTGCAATATACTTTTAAATCTCTTATAATTGGGCAATAGGAATGTCTGAAAGCTTTTTTGTATTTTTCTGAATTTTTCACTTCCATCGCATAACGCACATGTTTAAAAAGTTTCATTGACTTTGTTTATGCTAATGATTTTTACCTCCTTTTGTCCTTTTCATTATAGATTGAAGCAGGAGAGGGCGTTGAAACAGCAATCAACCAGTTAAGACAGGAAAAGGTTGGTTTTTGCCATCATTTTGCTACTTTCACCTAAGAACCCTTTTAAATTTACCAGCGAAAGGTTCTCTGTGATGTTACGGTTGAAATCTCTATTGATTGGTAAAGGCATATATTTTTTCGCAAAGAAGTATAGCATATAGCTGTCTGCCTTCTTTGTTTTGGAAGGCTGGGCTCGGAAGGTTAAATTTACCCAGGGCTTCTGAACTTTTTAATTTGGTAATTGCAAAGCATCAAGACAATTGTCACAAAGTCAATTATCGAATCCTGCCATACAATTATTTTGCCTTTTGTCAAGTAGTATTCTGATCTAAAAATTTTGAACCCCTTATTCATTCGAATTTGTTTATTACAGTTGATAAATGTATTTTATTTCTTAGGAAAAGTTACTTGAAAATATCTCGAAATCTGAGAATGAAATGGCAGAACAAGGAAGAAAGTATACTACTGAAATCGATATTTTGAGAGGAGATAAGTCAAAGGTATTTTTCCTTGGTTTCTGATGGTGTCAGATTTTAGAAACCTGTGTGTGAAACTAGACTGAAGAAATCTAAACCTTTGCTTCTTGGATATCTGGATAATGTAAGGGTCATCCAATATGAAACGCTCGTTGCATTGTAATGATGTGAGAGGAACGTTCATTCAACGTAATTTCATGATGGCCAAAAATTTAAAGAATTTATCTAATAACTTAAGCATAGAATGAACGGTCTCGCAGTTCCCTTGTAATTCAATCAGTACTCGAGAAAAAGGGAAGGTTTTGGTTGAAGAGTATGCATCTCAACTATAGGTTGTTCAGCATTTCTAGATATATTATCTGTTATTTATCAACTCTACATATGCTGAATGATTTCAGCTAATCTATGATTCTTTAACTCTGAAAAAACGAAATTTTGCAGCACAAGCATTTAAACATCCTTTTTTAAATGCAGGAATGGAAATTTATACATTTAGGTTTATTGGTTTTTTTGTTATTTGTTATCAATTTGTTATTGGTTGTTAGTGACTGAGGTATTTCAAACTTCATGAGATATTTCAAGATTATAACATTTCGATGTCAAATTTCAGTTAAAGGAAGATGTTGAAGGGCTGAGTGACCGTAATAAAGCCCTGGAGAAGCAACTGAGTGCCGTTGAAGGGGATTTGGCGGCGAAGCAAAAGTCGATAGAAGAGCTGAAGCAGGAATTACGAGACAAGGTACGAGAAACGCATTTCCATTATAAGAAAACCTGCATGTTAGATTGCGGAGACTATTTCAAGACCAGAAAGAGGGTTTTTCGATAAACTATTCTGACCCTGTTAACATCATCACCCAACCATAGATTTTCCATTTCCTTTCCCACCTTCTCGAATATGTACGGTTCCATCACAGCTTAAATACCGCAAATCCTCGAATTGCCCCCCCCCCTCAAACCCCTCCTCGAATAAGCCCCCACCCTAGAACTACAAATTGTCAATAAGCCTTCCCTCGAATAAGCCCCCACTGCTACCGTAAATTCTAGAATGGGACCCCTCAGTTTGGTGACTTTTGCCATCTGAGGTTGCCTATGACGTTTTATTGAATTACCACAACAATTTCATACTTTTGGTAGTATTCAATGCAAACATCAATTTTATATTTTTCAAGTTTTTATTTCGTCATAGGCCGGCGAAATACACCAGATCGAGCTGAAAAGCTCACAGGAGAAGGCATCGTTTGAGGAGCAGGTTCAGCAGTTAGGACAGTCATTGAGCGAAAAATCGAATCAAATAACAGTTCTTGAGCAAAAGTTGGCAAAGGTTTGTATGATCTATATGCTATGTTTGTTCTCAATTTTCAAACCCCGCCACACTTTCCAGTATATTTTTTATATATGGCTGTATCAATTTTTTTGATATTGAATTTTGGCGATATAACTTGAAAGAATATTGTAATAAAATCCCAAATTTGAAAAGTGAATTAGAAATTGTTATAAATTCATTGTGACATTTTTTGGTTCTAGAATTTAGGAAGCAATCACGAAGAACAGTTCTTAGATTTTTCCCTTGACCTATCAACCGATTTGCACCTGGTTTAGCCCATTTTGCACCTGGTTTAGCCCATTTTTGCACTTGGTTTAGCCCATTTTGCACCGTTTGGATATACTATCTGGTGTGCTAAAAGATCAGATTGCTCCTATCTTAAAATATTTTCAAAATATGTTTATCATTGAACTGTGACAAGGATTTTCAAATTAAGTTTTGTCGTCACACTGTTATCATAGGCAAAAAAATATGAAGTTACGGTTTGTTAAATCACATTGCAAAAAAGGTTAAATCATTTATGCAAATCACTTTCAGTGATACATAAGTGCATGGAACACAAACTGACGATCATAAAAACATAACAAAAATAATGAATTAATAATTCTTAATTTTCGTAGGTTTCTATCGATCTCAGTTCTATGACATCATCAAAATCGGAGGTCGACAAAGTGCTTCAAGAATCTCGTAATAGCAATGAGGCACTCAATAAGGATCTTGCGAAGGCTAATACTGATTTGCAGGAGTTGAAAGCTCTGCATAAGAAAGAATCTGAAGAATTAAAGGGAAAGATTGAACAGGTAAGTCAGCTTTAAGTGATTTTGATACAAGAGACTTACAAAATGTGGGTCTTGACAGATCAGATAAAAGTGAGTCTTCTATACGACCTTAAAGGGTGTGCTTGTTAGAGGAAAAGTCCTTGGCAAACAGCATGAGAAGTTATGGTCTACTTCTTCTTCTTTGCTATCTTAGCCTCCCAGTGTGTTGCCATCGGGTCCTATTTCGCTATTCGCTTGAAAATATACCCGATGGCTAGCGAGCCCTGCTTAATTTATCCCTCTGCTTAAATGCTCTTATCACTTGACTCCTTTTTGTTATGTGCGTAGACCAAATATGACGTAACTAGCTAAAGAGTAAGTGAGTAGAATTTTGGTTTATGTACATAAAAGTATGGATTATAGCATATGAACTGTATATGAAGGTTTTGCGTGTTTGGCACTATTGTATTTGGCCCATTGGTTAAATATCTACCACCAGTTTGATATGAGTATTCAGGTAGTAAAATCACCTGGCCAACCAGAACAATAGGTATTTATGAAATTGTATGTAGTCATGCTAATGAAAAGTATATTTCGTTTTATGAAATAGAGTAGGACTCCTTATTTTGTTACTTTTTTGCATTGATAAGATGTAATTATATATGCTGTTTATTCAAATCCAAATCTATTTATTTTTTCTGTAGTTGAATGTCGCTCTTGGGGAAAAGGCGACTTTGCTACAAAAAGAGGGTGGTGAAAAAAAGAATCTTGAAATTAGTTTGGCAAAAACAGAAGCTGAACTAAACGCAAAGATAGCGATAGGAGACAAGGACATAGCTGTACTTAAAGCGAAAATAGAAGAAGTATGTTTGAGTATTGTGTATCTATTAAAGTTTGTTTCTTTATGAAATCTTCTTTTTAGTTAAAGCGTTTTTGTAATTTTGAACTTTATTCGTATACATATATATCTCTGGAAATAACTTTTACGGGTCTGTCATAAAGTGTTTGATACCATATAGGCAGAGCCGACATGCTATTTTTTGTATGGAACAGAACGGTTCTAAGTTGCTACGCTGAGCTTCACGCTTAATGCGATCATTAGGCAGCTGTTGATGTTAAATGATATTTATGATATAATTTTGCTCTTCGTAAGATTTTTATTTCGAACATTAATCGTTATTAGTTTTTCATAATTTCTGTTGTTTTTGTTACATAGGATTTTTTCAAAATTATTTTGTTTAGAACTATTTGACTAATATTTACCCTTTGGTGTATAGAACAGGACGGTTCTAAGTTTTAACTCCGAGTTTACGCTTAATGTAATCACCAGGGAGGTTTTTATGACACCGAACCATGTTTTCCATAGGATACCAAAGAACGCGAGAAAATGGATAAAGAATTCGCTGATCTACGAGAAAATGAGGTAAAGTGTCTTGTTTAGTACTGTTGTTTATTCTATAACATTCCTTCCTTATTTGCAATTGTTTTCTTTTGTTATCTACCCTTTTTATTCGTTGTATCACCATTTGCTGTTCCCCCTTCACCGTCCCTCTCTCTTTCCCTTCTCCATAACATAGAGCAAAAATGTTTGCAGCCGCTGTGCAAAGAGCTTTTGCGCCTGCAAGCTGCGGCCAAATGGCGACGCGCAAAATTTTTCCCGCCAACCGACCATGTGACACTTTGATTCCGATCCAGGCCTCCTGGGAGGTGCAATGTTATAGGGTTTTGTGTCACCACAACCACAAAAGACCTGAGCATGGCGGAGTGAACTTAAAGCCTGATCGGCTCATTTTATATACAAAATTTTACCATGTGAGTATGCCTCAAATATTGTCAGTTCCACGGAGAAAAAGTTCAAAATTCAAATTTATTTTATCTCAAAAACGGCACCATGCCGCACGCTGATTTTTTTATTGATTCATCTTCATGCCCCGAAAAATAAGATTATATTGGTTGGCATATTTGGAAAATTGGGTCACGTTCATAATTTCACCGCAAAGATACCTAACTTTAGGATTGTCAATTTATGGGTGCGATTGAATGATGATTTAAAACCGCCATACTTTTTGGGATATGCGGTATATTCATGGAAGTTTTTCATTAAAATAGATTGGTCACGAATGTAAGTAGCTGTTTTTAACGCGATTTTGAAATCGCTTCGGTATTTTTCTATAAGAGTAGGAAACCAAACAAAAGCGAAATTTTGAAAGGTCAACATGGGAAGCTTTGTTCGATATTTGAATTAACGATCGTGAAAAATTTCCACCATGCCGCATCCTGAATTTTTGTATACTTGTAGTCAAAAGTTCAATTTTTTTGTATATTGTCTCCTTCAGAGGCGGAAAATTGGGTAACGCTTGAAAATTTACTTTTTAAATTGTTCATATTTCCCTTCTTGCCTAATAGTAGGCCTAGGCATAGGATACTTTAGTTTGGCAGTAAAGCATAGGCCACGAAGAGATTAATAAGGTTTTAAAGCCATAATTTAATGATATAAATGTATCTTAAGTAGATAATTTATCTATTTGACTCCATAAAAATAAAGCAGAGGTAAGGTTAAAATTCAAAGTTTGTTTTCCCATATATTTTTATATCAATCGCATCCGGGACAGAACGACACAATTTTCGCGGGCAGGTAAATCACGTCAGCATGCGCGCGCATAAAAAACATTTTTGCACTATGTTCTTCTCCATATAAAAGAGCAAGCAACTCTATCTTTAGTTGATTGCACACTTTACAATCGAGTGCTGTATGTTTTTACAGGTTTTGTACCCGTTTTAAACATTTGTCTGTTATTTAGAGATGTCAGTTATACGGGGATCTCCATTAATAGAGTTTCACTTTTTTACAAGATAAATATTTCTAAGTTGTGTGGAAACATTCTGTTGAATATTAAATTGCTTTTAAATATAAATTACATTTATATAATTGTGGTATTGTTCATCATATTTTTGCAGGCATCATTAAAAACCAAAGTCCAAAGCATTGAAATAGAGTTTCAAAGCCAAAAAGATGAGCTCAATCAACGAATAATGGCTTTGAAGACGAAATCTGAAGGAACTGAGGTATTTATCTATATTCTGGAGATAAACCAGGACCAGTTCTTTTCAGGAAACATCAAGTAGCTCAGTATCGTCGTCAACTAAATGATAAATAATGCATGTGTTTCAAGGAAACTTAAGGCACGTAATTTCGGATTTGTATGCTCATAAAATCAAGTGGGTAAAACAGCAGCTCATTTTCTTTCTTTTAAAGTGACTCAAAATGACTCAAAATTTTTGCTTTTTTCAAAGCCACTTTTTCTTTACATATACCAACTGAAATATGCTGACGGAATTGCTGCGATGACCTTTCTACAAATTTTCTCTTGGAATATTTTCCAACGAAATTTTTTTTGTGCTCTTGAAATATTTAACGTTGTAAGTAAACGTGTTCTTTGTTAAAATCAAGTCAAATTCCCTTAAGACAAGAGTAGTTACAAAAGGTTTCCCGATGGGATGAAAAGCTGTTTGACGGCCAATCGGGCATCCCAGAGCAAATGCAGCTGGCGAATGGTTTTTTGTCCTTTTTTTCTCTAAGGAATACGTTGATACTCTAAGGAATGCCTGACGAATAGTGCTTTAGTGTGACATTTTTCCGCTTTTTCGTGCTATTTTCAAAGTTTCCAAACTATTTTTTTTGTAGGCCCAACTGAAGACTGAATTGCAGGCGAAAGAAATTGAAATGAAAACTGCAAAAGAGTCTTCAAAAAACCAAATTGAAGAGCTAAAGAAATCATTTGCTGAGAAGGAGGTACATTTTAGTTTGTCACCTGCTTCTAATAAATTGCTTTATTTTTCAGAGCTAAATAGCGCTATTTAGTACTATTTCATGATGTATTTCGTAGATTTTAGTGATTTAGAAAATTCTTGATTTCGATCAGCATCCGGATATTAACTTCCGCTTAGTCTTTTGGTAATAATCCCTACATTTATACTGTGTGGATCAGTGCTGTAACCAAATTCTAAGCGAAAAGCCATTAATTAAATTGATAATATATATTCTAATTTATACTCAGCAAGCTCTAAAAGCTCTCCTATCATTGCATCTGTTGATATTCTTGTGAGGTTTTTTATCTGTATGTTGAAAAGTATTTGATTATATAAATTGAAAAGAGTTATTGGATATGGATGGGAAAATATACAAAGGTTGGTATACTTTGCAATAGAACAAATACTGACAGCTCATGGAATAACCATAAACTAATTTTGCAGAAACAGAGACATGCTATTTTTAACTCAAATATTTATCGGGGGGGGGGGGGACGTTCCCTTTATCAACTTTTTAATCGCATCGATCAAAATTAGAATATAAGAAAATCAGAGACATTGTGAAAATGACGATGTTCAATATCTTTACAGAATCTTAGGGTCTAATAAAGAAAACCTTTTGGAAAAAGTTATATTTGTCAGTATATATAGCTAAGACCTTTTGTTATTTTTCTTTATTGGCATTGTGTCTTGTTTAAATTTTTTTTACATTATTAGGTGAAATTTAAAGAAGATTTGAAGTTGAAAGATGGGGAGCTTTTCTTCATTTCTGAATCAACAAAGGAAACCATCGCAGGTTATGAAAAATCACTGGAAATGCTTGAGGTATATCATTGCAAATGGAGCTATTTTCTCATTGGGTTTTGTAGAAATACGATTATGCAACCCATTGTGAATTGGCACCTCCCAAAAATGAACACGTCCACATAAAACATTTTCCTTCAGAAATTTTGATGCAGTCGTCTAAAATCTGTGCAGAAGACTTCCAATTAACCCGACTCCATAAGTTTTTTATTGAGTTCAATTTTTAGCTAGACCAAGGCATGGGCAAAGCTTGGTGAATAAAATACACCTTCTAGATTGATTCCTTGTATTTGTATTTGTATTTGTATTTGTTGCTACCTAGCATCCGAAGGTAGTTTTTAGGACACCGAGAAGCTATGCTTATCGAGCAGTGTCCCGGGCCTTCCTCACGATGTGACCACACCTCGTTTTTCCAATGCCTGGAATTACAGAGAGCTGGCGACTCTCCCCCCTCTGGGTGAAAGTTTGGTCATGCCAGGGGCTAAGCTAGCGACTCTCCTCACTCTTGGTGAAAGTTTGGTCATGCCAGGGACTCGAACCACGGACCTTCGGTCTGTAGTCAGCGCCTCTAGCAACTGAGCCATCCTCGCACCTTTATTAATTCTTTTAAACCAGTTTTGCAAATGTTTTGTAATAGTGGCCTTTTGGAAATGGTTGTTGACAAGTAAGATCTTCATTCCAATGGTTTAGAAAGTTAGATGTACATACTTCCAAGCATTGAAAAGAAAAATAAAGAAGTAGGCAAATATAAAAGTAGGCAAAAATGAATTAATCTAGATACAGCCATTTTTGTTTCAGCCAAACATCTTTGTTTCGATTGTTCTTGATTATTACCTTTAAATTACAAATATACTTGATACTGTAATGAATTCATCTAGTCTGTACATAGTCAATAATTTAGTGCGATGTTTTATTGCAAAACGTGTATCCATAAGTTGAGAAGTACCTATAGTTACCTATAGGTACCCCAAGCATAACTGCATTTAATTTTGTTGCAGGGCACACTTAAAGATGAACAGCAAAAGTCAGAACAGCTCCAGCTCAAGGTTATTTGATATTTGAATTTGTTACTACCAAGCTTCCGAGAGTCGTTTTAGGACACTGAAAAGCGCTGCTTATCGAGCAGGATCCTGGGTCTGTCTCTTTAAGTTACCACACCTCGTGATTTCCAAGCCTATGGTAACAGAGGGCTATCGTAATGGTTATGGCAGGAACTCGAACTAAAGGCCTTTGGGGCAGTAGTTCGGGGCCCCAACCCCTGGGCGATCCTCACAGCTATTTTTTGAAATGGGCTTTTTTCAAAGAGTGATTAAGCACTATTCGTTATATCGGTTTTGAGGGCATCGCAAAATTTTTTATTACCAGGCTTAAAGATTTTGTTAATATGTACACAGTTACCGTGAAGTTGCTATAATCGATGATGAAAAAAGTTTCAAACTAAGCAAAAGCCCACATTATAGCACTAAAAGAAACGAGATTCAAGGCAGGATGTTTTGTGTCCTAAAAAAAGCCAAATTATTTATTTAGAAGCTAAACTTCATGTCTTCCGAGATTGTAAGGTACCGAAGTTTGGAAGTATTACTGGGCCTGAAACATTCTTATAAAGAGAGTCCCCTACCGATGTGAATATATATTGTAGAATAAAACTTATCTATATATTCTACGATATTTATTATTTAAACGTGCAATAATACAAGATTCACCTCTCTAAATAGCTATTAAAGCATAGCAATCTAAATAGCATTTATTCAATAGTCAATAATATCATCTGCTGGTTAATAGCACGATGCTCTAAGATTCCTGTATACAAGATATTATTTTCCCGTTGACAATCATATCATTGCGTCATAGCACACATACAGGAGAGCGATAAACATTGCCTCATTTACGTCAATCTCTTTTCATTGTCTAGCCGCTATTTGCTGTGGGAAATTTCCCAGCCGCTAGACAAGCTCGGCACTTCTGTAATTGATTGAGATGAATTTCAAACAGTGAATATTAATGATAAACAAAAGCCCAATTCCACCGGGCTTTTCCTCGAATTTTTGTCTAATTAGACCGATGATACATTCTATAGTTGTTTTTATACTACGCTAGTGTCCAGGATATATTGATCGTTTTTATATCCTTTAGGTGGGATGAAATTATCGTCAATATAGAGTTTCGTAAAGATGACACAATGCCATTAATAGTTTTATTATTGTAATTATGATTCCTTCCCTTGTGCTAAGGGCCTAGCCGAGTTTTTCACATAACATTAACAAGTTTCACAATGTTTTAGTTTTGTGTTTACTTGTTTCCGTATACATTTTATTAATTTTATTGCAGTTGTGTATTTTATTATTTCATGTACCGGTATGTTAGCCCTTATATTAGTTGCCGGTCAATTGTATTCGGTTGCTACCTATCCCGGTAATAATTGGGGTGTGGGGTATTGGGAATGTACCGAAAGATAATTATATCGAATTTCTGAATATTGTTTACAGTACGAGTTTTTCTTGAACTATAAAGGGCATTATAGATGTCCTTTTTAAGGCCCTGTGGGCAATGTATCTGATTCGTCTTCTACGGGATCTCTTTTGATACAAGATCAGTTCACACAAAAACCTATGAAACCAACAGGCACCGTATCGGTTTTTTGGAGCAAAGTCACTCTGCTTTGAATGTAGTATGGAGCGTATCGGATCTCTTCCTGACTCATGCAAACGCATTAATTCGGTTGTTGCACTCTAGTCTCCTTTTAAACTCAGAAAGTTAGTAAATGGCTTTGCAAACACGATACGCAATTTTGAACGTATCGTGGCTGCAAAAAAAGATTCCGTGTAGTGAGTAAAGCCGTGATTTTTATATTAGATTTTTTCAAAAAATCCTATGTGCGATGAATCTGGTACGCAATTAGTCCGGTTTATACTGAATCCGGTAGGCTATGAATCCAGTACGCAATTTATCCGGTATAGTGTTAACAGTGCCTAAGGCTACATTTTAAATATTTGCTGGGATCTAAGCAAATCCTATGCAGATGACTCTAGACCTTTTTTGTTTCAAACCCCTTTTTTAAACTGCAGATAAACAAAATCGAGGAGGAAAAAACTGGAATATTGGCAAGCCTTGAACAAAAGGATGCTACATTGCATGATGCTCAAAGAAAACTTGAGGTATGTGGTTCCAGTATAAAACGAATCAAGCCTTTGTGCTTTCAATGAAGGCCCATACCTTGGCGAAGTATGCGTTTTCCCCTGATTATGGTATCTAAAATTGACAGAAAAGGGGATATCCTATGTTTTTATACTAATTTATAAGTTGTCATCGTTCAAACGGGCACATTCTATTTTTCAAGAATTTAAAATTAGATTGGTCTTTATTTTCTTACTTTGGTTTGTCATATCTTTTCTGAATCTTGAATCTTCGTATCTTTTGTCTTTTAATTCTGGAATGTTTGGTTTACCGATCATTTTCAGGTTATTCACATGAATGTTTTAAAAGCTTAATCTGCAAGGGACTTTATAGATTTTGCTTTTTTGTAGGTTGCAGAAGCGGAGCTGAAAAAGAAATGCGAAAGCTGTAAAAATTATGAAATCCAGCTTTGCAGATTCCAAGAAACCCATAAAGTATGCTGCTTATTTTTCATAATGTAACATGCCTTCTCGAAAATTTGGTGACCAAGGGATGAAGAAAGTTCTCTTTTCAGTGATGGTGGAATATTTTTAGGCCCTAAATTGCTAGGAAAATATTAATATGGTTGAATTAGATAAAGCACTGTTAACCTCGGGAATAATTTATGTTGTTTTGAGGTATTCCATACTTTGATATGGGGATTTTAAAAAGATGTGAAAAAATATGTCCAATTTAGAACCATAGTTAACAACAATAGAAGCTCAGAGCAACACCAAGCACACGCACCAGGGACTTATTTTATTATTAATATTGTTTGAAAAATTGTGAAATAAAATGATGCTTTTGTATTATAGGAACAAATCAACACTGTTGCAACTCTAGAGGAACAAATAAAGAATCTCAGTGCAGACTTGAAGGTATATTTGCCATTGTATTTATTTTTGTCAGTACAATTGGTTGAAAAACAAGTTAAATCCAAGGGTTTTATTCTAATTAGAGTAAGCGTTTATTCGATCACAATCAAAGAAGGCTTCTGAAGAGGAATTTGAAAGCTGACAACTCAAGCCCTTACATTTTTGTGAAAACACGCTCCAAAAAGTGGATATTAAGACATAAAAGAATGAGCGATAGAATAGTCCAGATTTTTTTATAAATTCACAGTTGGTTTCATTTGTTTATGGTCCAATCTTTACACATTATTGCATTCCTGTTTTTTATAGACACTGTTTATTAATTCTGCAGAACTAGCCTACCATAATCACCAAATACGTTTGCTTTGCAGACATCAAAAGAAACACGCACAGGATTAGAAGCCGAATTTGAGAAGCATAAACAGAGTGCTAATGAAAATGATGAAAGTCTGAGAAAAGAATTAGAACAATCAAAGGAGGTGAAAAAATAATTTTGCTCGAAGAAATCTTTTTTTCTTGTTATGCTTCATACTTTGTCCAGTTTTCAAATTCTGCATGATTTCGTTACTGATGATATAAGCTAGTTATTTGATCAAAGTAAAAGCTGAAAGGAATTTGCCAGATTTGCCTTAACTTGTTTTAAGATTATAAAATCTCTTCTTTCAAGACTTAAGTAAAGAAACTTGACCTAACCTTTCATATCTTCGAAGCTTCATTCAATTCCTTTGATAGATCTTTGCGATTGCCCCCAACTGGCCTTTCCCTTACACAGCCAATTGAAAAAGAATGTAATTTACTGAAAAATATTATTAACCTCGAATTTTATTGCCCTCGGCATTGATTTGGTTACCAGGATAATCACAAAGGTGTTTTTTCGACATGAATTGGTATTTTAATTAACCTGATTTTGAAATATGACTTGGTTTTGAGAGTGTTTTTAGAGGTCACTCTGTGAGTAAAAGCACCTTTAAGTCTTTGTTAGCCTTTATCTTTGAGAGTGCACCTGTTTGAGCGATATGTGAAAGATCAAATGCACAGCTCAACTGCACAACTGCTGTTAACAAATATCTAGGATTAGAAGTGTACCAGAAAGTGTACTGCAAGAAAGTTTAACATTTAGCTCAGGAATTTACTAGACGAAGTTTATATCATTGAGCACTGTCCCATTTGTTTATTTTTATTTTGTTGTTTTACTACTTGTTGTTTCTTAGCAAAATTAGTTGCGAGATTATGCTGACTAAGCGTTTTCCGCGAGAGCAAGCTTCCCAGCGGCTTATCTAGATAAATTCAGTTTATTTGAGTTTGTTCTGTCGTTTGTTTTGACAGGTGAATGCTGTTCTTGATGCGAGAGTGCTTGAGCTGGATGACGAGCTAAAGGAGGCATACAATAAATATGACAATGCTAAAACCGAAGTGGTAATGATTAGTAGCATTGATATAGTTGCAAAAAAACTAAAATAAACCTTACCACACCATACCATGCCATGCCTTACCATACCATACCATACCATACCATACCATACCATACCATACCATACCATACCATACCATACCATACCATACCATACCATACCATACCATACCATACCATACCATACCATACCATACCATACCTTACCTTACCATACCATGCCATGCAATACCATACCATACCATACCATGCCATGCCATGCCATGCCATGCCATGCCATGCCATGCAATACCATACCATACCATGCCATGTCATGCCTTGCCTTGCCTTGCCTTGCCTTGCCTTGCCTTGCCTTGCCTTGCCTTGCCTTACGATGCCATATTTTTGTTACAAAGCTACGCCATTCGGCAAAGAAATTAAACATGGCATGTTTCGAATATTGTATGTTTGAATCAAATATCTCCTCTCTAATCACAGAACAAGTAATTTTTTATGTTTATTTTCTGTGTAACCTTCGATTATCAAAAAGTAAGAAGACTTATTTACATTCAAGGCCACTTTGTCAACTGACCTTGCAGCAAGGGAAGAGCATGAAGCAAAACTCAGGGAAGAAAAGTAAGCTCAATCGCATGCTTTTGTAAATTATCCTTTGAATTTTACTTGTACTAAAATGATAATGATTATGCAAATGTTTCCTCATTTTATCTTTTGGAGCTTTAAAGTTTTCCAAGTTAACAGTTTTACTTGTGTATTTTGTTGTTTTACCTATTTTGTTGTTTATAACTTTTCATTCCAGTTTGTTATTGGAAAAAGAAATCGAGGAGTTAAAAGCTGCAGAAGAGAATTTTAAAAATCAAGCTGAGAAGGTAACCAAAAATTTAAATCAGATGCAGTCTTTTACGGAGTGAGGTTCTAGTTTCGTTGAGGAGACTTAAGAAACAACGAGGTAGAGGTTGCATCGGATCCGAAGATAAACAAGTCAGTCAGTCAGTTGAGTTTAATGTCCAAAATCAGCCTTTAAACATGTAAAGAGTTTTTTTGCGTAACTTAAGGGAGGTTTGGGCGAGGCCGAATCTCATATGCAACACTTCCATTTGGGACCCCTTCGTATGCCATACATTTGAGATCTTTCACATACGATTTCTCTATCTGAATCTGACCGGTATCCTGAACAAATCCCAGCAGCATCTCTTCTTGTCTCCTTGAGCCTCCTTGTATGATACATAGCGGGTAGGAGGCATACATTGTGTACAGGTACATTGATTCATAGCTATATCTGTTTAATGACGATACGGGGGTTGAGGATGGGGTAAATGCATTTTCCCTAACCAAAAAGTTTAGAAGAATAACCTTTCTGTTAAGCAAAATATATGACGAGAATGACTAGTAAGATATTTTCCTTTGCGCCTTCTTCCTTCCTAATGTTGCCAATTGCTTATCCTTCAGTACCCCGTGGAGTAATTGAGAGTATTCGAATTATGTGCTTAGGGTGGATTTGAATCAATGAACATTTTCTAGATGCTTTGCCAATCAGGCTAGCAAGCTGCGAGGCAGCTTTTTAAGATGTTCTGCTCTTCTCGGATATGCTGTTTTGCATACGGGGTTTTCTGTTTTTCAAAAGCCAAATAAAATTGCGACAAGTTACGACTTAAAATTCACGACATATTAATGACACTTTGCAGAATTACTTTCTTCGTTTGTTGAGTGTAAATTGCAGTGCACTTATTTTAACCTCATTGGAACGAAGTTTTTGGAATTTTCATAAGCCCGGTGCACCCTCATTACCCAACAAGGAGGTTTCTGCTGATACTTGGGCTGCCTTTATCCCCTATACAAGCCACTGTGACAAGGGCTACAAGAAAAGTAGACATCGATATGTTTATGCTTGTGATGGTAGATCTCAAATACCATGCGTAGCGTTGGCTTTTTTAAGTAAAAGATGTTATACTTCCTTGAATCACAAGCATGTTGGTGTAACTCCCGATTTCTCTCTGCAGCACGCAGAACCCAGATTACCAAACTGCCACTTGTATGTATAGTCATATTATGTCTGTGAATACACGTAAACATCTTTTATTCCAATAATTGCAGGAAAAAGAGTATGCAGATCAAAGAATAGCTGAAATTTTAAGACAGAAATCGGAAGACGAAGAAGAGTTCAATAAAATGAGAGATCTCCTAGAAAAGGTAATTTGTGGTGCATTGATCCGAGACAAAGTTGTAAATTGCTAATGTATCGTAAATATGGTATAAATCGTTTAGAAAGAGGGTACCCTACAAATAAAAAACCCAAAAAAAATAAACGGTGAGAGGGTTTATTTGGGCTAGGAAATAAGAAGTTCTGGACCCTGCAGATGATGTACCAGATTCTACATTGTTGTATAAATTTTGTACAAATCTCAAGGTTCCAAGAATTGCAGTTTATTCGCAAAACTTTTTTCGACTTTTCATCAACACCTGCTCGTGACATAAAGACTTTGACTGGAGTGGTTTAAAGATCAAGTAGGAAAACCTGTGCGTTTTGTTGTAGAAAAAGACTTCTAGAAAAATTTGCTAAATGTCTCTGTTTGGTTTTTGTGAATATTAATCGTTTTTGTGCTTCAAATATTTTTTGTGTCATGGGAGCTTTCAAATGTCCTGCTGTTTACTGGCGTCAAGTATTTTTTTATTCATACAATCATCATACTTAGGTGTTTCGGATAAAATGTCAAATTGTTTATTTTTGTTGCTTTCTGTACTTAGGAGAAGAAGGAAAGCGCTCGGACAAGAGAAACGATGGAAAAAATGCAGATTGTTCTCAAGGAAAGGATTGAATCGATACTAACCAAAGTGGTGAGTAAATCATTTGAAGGCTCGATGAATTAGCGGGACATTGGTGCAATTACATGAAAACTCATTATGTATTGAGTCAGAAACTTGAGAAAACTCGTTATGTGTTGAGGACATCAGTTTTGAGAGAATGGAAACTGAAAGACTTTAACTGATGAAAACTGACTGTGTAGGAAGGACATCAGTCAAATTTGAGAGCTGTCAGTCAAAAATCTGATAAAAACTGATCGTTTATTACAGGCTTTAATGGTTTATACAAAGATGAACGCGCGCATTTGCAAGGAACAAAAGACCTCTATATATATCAAGCGTAGTTTTCAATGGCAGAGCAGTATAACACTCTAAATTCAATCTAATCTAAAATTGTAAACTGCATAATCAAATGGTACAATTAAAGCGTCACCTTGCAGCTAACGACAGATATACACACAGAATAATCTACTGCTATCTTGAAAACATGGAATGTTGGAATACTGGAATGTTGGAATGTGTTTTCTAAAACCTTTATAACTCCATGCTAATAAGTACATTTGTATTTTATTCGGGTTCATCGGTACGAGAACTTAAAATGTAGGAAGGTACTACCATGCAGAGGCAAATCTTATATATTCACATTCCATATTCCATGTTTTCAAGATAACCATTTTTTGATCGCTTACCTCAACTCAAAACTTCAAAACTTAGCCAACTTCTCAGCTTGACTTCAGTAGCCTAACAGGGGACCTATATGTGCAGAAAATCTATATGTGGGAATGTGAATTAGATTGATCACAAGGTTGCTGCAGGCTACTTTTTGCTATTCAGCCCAAGGCTATTAGAGAATATACGTTCAATATACTAGATAGCATGGAAAGTATGGAAAGAGAAAACAGTACGGTAGAGAGTAAAGAATGAAAATAAAGTACGGTAGAGATTTAAGAAACGTTCTTTTTTTAAAACTATTCATTTACAAAGGTTTTTACTTTTCTAGCAAAACATCGAAAGAGAAAAGGAAGATCTATTAAAATCCAAGGAACAATCTGAGACAAGATTAAATATGGAAATTAAATCGCTAACTGAGAATATTAATAGGAGCAGACAGGAAATTGAAAATAGGAATAAAAAAATCGAGGAATTCAATCAACAAATGTCAAATATACAAAAAGAGAAAGATGATCTTCGAGGCGATGTGGCAGGTGATACAAATTTTATTTTTCATTCAATCGCGACTCTTGAAGGCATTGAGTCATGATAAATTGGCCTTCCCTTCAGGGAGCCATTTGTGATCGACGTAATTGCTGCATCATCATATGATATGGGCATCTGTTGTTGACAACTTGCTGTTGATGGAAACTATTTTGTTAATCAATACGAGGTGAGTTCATGTGACCAGTTCCAGGTCAACCAATAGCATTGCAGCACGAAAATCAAGACTCAGCAGATTTGGCCACGTTTGGGTATGCCCTCTTTTTTATCATGACTCAATGCCTTTTAGTTATACAGAGTAGCAACAATTTGTTTCCTATTTTTGTTCACTTATAAGTTAAGATTTTTTTATTCGATATTCATACATTTTTTATATCTTCAGTAGTAAAAATTTTATATCATATGTCAATATTTATTTTAGTTCAAAGCAACTGAAGGTTTTATAGGCTAATCATATCCATCCAATATAGTATGCCTGCATATTTGTTAGAATATTTTCTTTTCATAAACCTGTATGAATATTAGAGACTGTATCATATTGTTGGGTAACATTCCATGTTTCATTGCTTGTAATGTTTTATTGGTAGATATCACGTTGTATTATACTTCAGGCTAGCGTTACATAACGATAGCATCCACACGATTGCTCCTTGTTTTGAGCAGTCAATACCTACTTTTATTGTAAAACACCTTTGAATGTCCTTATTCGAAACTAGCAGATTGTAGAGAAAAACATGGATAAACTACCTGCTACAGAAGATTGTAACAGTGAGACCTTACAAAAGCTACTGTTAACATTTTAGTTACCTAAGATTTTTATAAAAACTGTTTTGTAAGAAATGAATTGTTTATTTTTACATTAATAAAACAATGTGACTCTATTTTTTCAATTGTTTGCTTTGATTTCAGTTATGGAAGTACAAATTCAGAACATAAATGAAGACAAGAAAGCCCTTACCGAAAGGTGTGAGCTGAACATTTTATTTTCAAAGTATTTAAAAAGAGTGTTACACGCATATGTAAAATAGACACTACACGGAAAAATCCTTATATGAAATGTTAATCTGAAACATGATTAGAAACAAGTCTGTTTGCATAACCTGGCCATTGAATTTATATTATTGGGCGAACAGAGAAAAGTGATTTAGCAAAGTCCTGTGGCATATAATTGATTCCAACAAATTTCCATTGAGGCCTACTCGCAAAATAAGGAATGATGCATTCATACAATGTTTGCTTGATGGGTAAAGAGAATTGTAATCGCAATTTATAAAGTTATCGTTTTGGTGATTGGTCATTTAGTCAACTTTTTTCTATGATTTTTCGGTTGATGTTTTTAACTGTTGCTCTTTCCATGAAGGGTTCTTCAGAGTGAAGATGCCCACAAAAGAACGAAAGAGAGGCTTTCAGATACAAATAGGAGGCTAGAGCAATCGCTTGCCGCACTCCAAGAGTTAGGTCAGGAGAACCAATCAATCCAGGTTTGTGTTTTAAAGCCATAATAATAGTTAATCTTCTTCATTAATCATTAATATCATTATTTTAATCATTATGATCATGATCGTTTTTGTAACTATAAACCATTATATTTATCCTCTTCATCAATCATCTCTATCGTCATAGTAATCGTTATGATCAGAATCATGCTCAGGTTCGTTATCATGATTATCAACCATGATTATTAATCCTCTTCACCAATCATCTCTATCATCATAATAATCATCATGATCAGGATCATGCTCAGGATCATGATCAGGATCGTTATTATGATTATCCACCATTTCCATTAATCCTCTTCACCAATCATCTCTATCATCATGATAATCATCACAATCAAGATCATGATTAGAATCATTATCATGGTTATCCACTATGACCATTAATTCTATTCACCGATCAACTTTATCATCATAGTAATCATCATGATCAAGATCATCATTAGGATCATTATCATGGTTATCCACTATGACCATTAATTCTCTTCACCAATCATCTTTATCATCATAGTAATCATCATGATTAAGATCATCATTAGGATCATTATCATGGTTATCCACTATGACCATTAATCCTCTTTACCAATCATCTTTATCATCATAGTAATCATCATGATCAGGATCGTGATCAGGTTCGTTATCATGATTATCAACCATGATTATCAATCCTCTTCATCAATCAACATCATCAATCACTACCGCTGTCACTATCATAATCATGATCAACACTATCACCCTCAATATCATTTGCATCGTATTCTTAGTGACAATCACCATTATCGTCTTCATTCATCATTGTCATTCGCTATATAATCGCATAATCACATTCCACCGTGACTCATTTTTCTATTTATTTAGATGCAGCAAAATTTCAAGCTCAGTCGCCAGTGGGAGGATGACAATCTGGCTAAGAACTGCAAAACATGTGACAAACTATTTAGCTTGACTGTGCGAAAGGTATATTTATTCAGTTGTATAATCACAGCTTTACCCATGAGTCCATTTGCTATAGTTTTATTGTCATTGCATAATGGCTGATTTCGAAATCATGCGAACATGTTCATTGTTATCTGCAAAATGTATTTCAGCGACATTTCGTGTCACGCAGTCACAGAATAGTTGAATACCAATATCATTAGATGATTTTGACGCAAAAGTTTTGAAATTTCTCCATTGATTGGGTGACCATTATAGTTTTGGGTCCATTTCTATTTAATGACAGTGATTGGACGGTCCTTCAGTTTGATTACAATGAATAATTATCACAGCAGGTATTGAATGATCGATTAATTAAACAATGTGCTTTTAGGCAAAAACTAGCGGTTTTGTTGCACAATCTACAATATATTTCGATTATGAGAAATGTGACACTGCAATATGGCTTTTAATTATTTATAATGGCAATTAAGCCTAACAAACAGACCAAGATGAAATTAAATCATTTTTCATCTCGTTTGATTTTCGTTAGGATGTACTTCTCGGTAAATGTGTGAAGGGGTCGGAGAGATATGCCCGTTGGATTCGGTTTCCTAGTCTACTTGAGACGACCATTTCCTGGGGCCATTATACTACTTCGAGCGGAAATTAGATGGAATTGTAAATGCAAGCAATTACGCTACATAGGGAAAGAGACCCACATCGTAGCCCTTCCACGTGAAAAAATTTTAAGTACTGTGGAGTATGTAATAAATAGGATGGGTGGAAAAGTTTCCAAATGATTTTATACGGGGTGAATGGCTGGGTCTGGATTAAGGTTGAGCGGCTGAATAAGGAATAACATGGGGGAGCAGTTCATTCCGGACTCGAGAGAAACCGTATTAGAGCTTTGCTAATAGCGAAATAATTTTATTTATTGTCCGTATGCAAAGAAGGATGCTCATTTCTGGCATCCTTTGTTGCATTTTAGGCCCCCTTTTGCTATTGAGAAGCAGAGACAACCGAGCTCTCATTTTACATCACGATTCGCAATTTCGAGCAGGTTTGCTCATTTGAGTAAATACGGCATGTAAAAAAGTAGTGTAGGCTTAGAGTTTCAAAGCATATTACCCTGGGTAGACAAGTGACGCCTTCATATTTAGGGAACGCCCTAGTTTGCTCTTGTTGATTATGCGAATTACCGTCTTCAATTACATGTCCTCTGTACTGGTTATCTCTTCTTCGTAGCTGTTATGCTCATTCCTTTTGATATTTCAAAACTATTTTTGGCTTGTTTTTGCTTCGATATGCAGTTCAATAATATTTTCATTTTACTTTGTTTCAGCATCATTGTCGGCATTGTGGGTAATGTATTCAGTCAATACTTTGTTTGTATCAAGTATCTGAAATGTAAACACTGTATTCCACAGTTTGTATATCTTAGTGGGTTTGATAAAGGATTATCCCGTATTGAATATATTTATGAACTTCTTGGTAGCCAATACTATGATGTTGCTAGTGGCTGCAATTACTACCAGCTATTTGCATTTCTAGATTCGCCTCTTTCTAACATGTCTCACAATCACTTTGAGTCGAAAACAAAGTCCAGTTCTGTATCACGTAAGCATAGGAAAACTTACGCACAGGCCTAATAGAGCTTCTTACTGGCCTATAAAATGTGTGTCTTTTTCATTGGTTGATTGTGCATTAAATGGGTCATTTTAGCCAATAGGATTTACTCTAGAGCTTGTGGTAAAAATCGCGTGCTAGAACGTGAAATCTTCTCAGTTGCCAGCAAATATTGTTTTTCACCATTCACCGCGAGCTTCGTTGAATTTTAATCTCGAATTATTTGATTTCTGTTGATGTTTTTTGTTTTTATCATGTCTTTTACGAATTGCCAATATCTTTTGCGCAAAAACAATGATTTGTGCAGAGTGAAAAGAATAACGAAAAAGATTTAAAAGGGAAATTCTATGAAATAAAAAGAAAGGAAGGGTGTGAGAATTTTAATCATTCAGTGGGCCTAAATTCTGTAAAGAAAAGGATTAAATGGAAGATTTGAAGAAGGAAGGTTTAAATTCTTTCCTAGTGTGTTCCTAAAGTTCCCTTTACTCTTTTGATACGGTTTTTGAGATTAAACGCGTGTTTCACACAACAGTTAAAATTTTTGCCTGTTCTTGTTCTTTTTGCTACCGTTGTTACTGAAATTCATCCTCTGTAGGCAGTGAAAGGTCTACGAGCATCCGAACGTCATTTAAAATTGGAATTAACCTATCACAATTTGCAGTCCTCTGAAATCTGTATTTTGAATCCAGCAAGTACTTTCAAACTCACAATTTTACTCGAAATACTGCAGACCACTACCTTTTAGATTGCTCAAGTTATGCATTATTTAGAATATGGTTGCAAATATTTGACTAACTGAAATGAGTTTCTTTTTCGCCTTGTTTGCTATTTAGTTAGATGTTTCCAGGCTGTTTGGCAAAGAAATATTCCCCTGCTCGTGTTATTTCTTTTTAGTAAGCAATAGTGATTGCATTTTATATTGCACTGAATCCAAGCACCGAATACATTTTAGTTGCAGTCACTTTGCAACAAAGAAATGAGGATTCGAAAGCCAGCATAGATGACTGGAAGACATCGCTCTGCCCTAGAGCACGCATATTTCGAAAGTGAAAAAGAAACATAGGGAAATAGGGCAACAAGAATTGGGGATAAAGAGAAAAGAATGGGTCGAAAGAAAGGGAAAGAAAGAGGAAGGAAGGATGAGAGAAAAAGAAAAAGTTTTAAAAGATGAAAAACCAATGATTAAGGGTTGATTTAAAGGAAGAGCAGAAAAATGTTTGATCGGAAAAAGGAAATGAAGGGGTGGCCACAGACATAAGAAATTTAAAAAAGCGCGTGGAACAAATTGTAGAGGTAAAAGAAGTGAAAAGTAGATAATAGAACCAAAGAGAATGCCAGATAAAAAACAGAAGGAGGGGGCTGTAGATGTTAGGTGAAAAAGAAAAGAAACGAAATAAAGAAAATATATGGAGAGGAAAGATAATATATGATATGATTTGCTGACACAGTTTTTTTCGTAATATACTTGAGAATATTTGAAAAAAGGCCCCCATGTTATGAAAACTTTTTGTTTGCTTAGAATGTCGTGCGAATAAAACGTTCAGCCTTCTACAATGTCGAGTACTTGTGGCAGTTTTGTTATCTTGTTTCGTATCGACATCTCACTATAACCGAACGCCAATCAAATAATTCCGATTTCCATTGTTTATAGGCAACAGTTGTCAAGGACCGCCGAGCATATTGCGGATTGAGCAGGGCGACTTTTAGCATAGTTTTCAGAACATTTCGGAAATTATTGGGGGGCTATAGCCCCCTCAGCCAGTCCCTGGCAGCTGTCTATGTAAAGCAGGAAGAGCACACAAATACGTATACAAATTAGTTATACTTTGCAATATGCACAATTCTTTATGATCCTAAAGAACAGTAAAGCAACATCACATTTAAGAATAAAATTGATTCAGTTTTCCTTAACAATTGACCGTGATGCATTCATTTCTTAGGGGAATTTTCTGTAACGAGTGTTCGAATAATTACACACAAGTGGCTGCAAGCAAGAAGGCAGTAAGAGTCTGCGATCATTGCCACACAGAGCTTAACACTGTACGCGGAAGGGTGAGCGAACAGTTCTCTTATTCTTGAGTGTTAGTAGCTCATTTGATCTTTTATATTATTGTCTGTTGTCCTACATTAGTTATCATGAAAAACATCCACCTCTTTACAGCGTTACATTTCCTTTATGTGGAAAAGACTTCCAGATCACCTCAAAGTTTTAGGCTTTCCCCTGGATAAAATGATCATATCCTAAATATTGCTTGATCAGCCATGTTACCCAAAATGCTGGAGATTTCTTCTCGCCTTATCAAAACGTGCCCTAGATCCTTTCTCGCCAGTCATCCCCCTTATGTTTTAAACAGCCATTGGCAGTGAAAAATCAGCCGAAGGCAATAAAGCAGAAGAAAAGCCGTCTGTTGCCTGGACGAACAAAATATATTCTCCTTCGCAGTTTAGATTTGCCCTCGCAGTAGTACGAAAGCCTTAGGGATTTTATAAAAAGATAGACTTTGAGAAAGTCTATCATTACTTCAAAGAACCCACATAAACATACACGTTTTTATAAGAAAGTCGTTTACAGTTGAATTCCTTTAATTCGGCCTTTGACGGGGAGATCATCTAATGTCTGACTTATCCGGGATATGACTTTTGACTTGAATATGGTAAGAAAATCCGATGGAAATGGAAAACCAGTCCGACTTAGTGAAAGTCCGAGTTATCCAAGGTACGTCTTAACGGGGTTCATCTGTGCAGGAAAGCAGTACGGGTACTACAATATTTTAACGGAGTTCAGTACTAGAGATTTCCGAACCTAGGAAAATATGTAATTATATTCTGTTTTTAGACACTTCTTTCAGTCACAAAGAAAAACAGCTGCATTGAACATATCATTGCGTAACTGATGTTTCTGTCTATACCCTATTCATTTCTACCTCTGCTTCAACAATGTCTATGCCTGCTTTCAAATCTGTGCCTCGTTGCCATGCCGATGCATCAACAAGTTCATCTAACGCTCCATTTTGCCCAAAATGCTTTTTCTCCAAGGAGCTGCATATTACTTTGAAAGCCCTGAGGTCGATGAGACAAAAATAGTTATTCTTTTGTTAATCAAGCTCTAAAAAGGTTTTAGGACGGAAATTCTAGAAGTGCTTTGAATGTTTGCTTACTGAACCCTTTTCGAAAATATTGCGATTCCGAATTGTAAAAGACCATTGCTAAACAGGCAACAAAATGAAAATAAAACATCATTTTTCTTTAAAAAATAGCAAATGCCTCTTCAATAAATTGAAATGTTTACTATGTACTTAGTTAGAACTCGATGTAATTCATTTTCATCGCTGGAACAATATAATAGGTAAAAAACCCATTAAATATTTATGTCTGCTATATATAAAATCATATTTTTTCACAAAAGGAAAAGAAACAATTGTAAAAGATCTGATAAGATGGATCATGACGGGCAAAAGGATTTATTTATCTTGCCATAAAGCTCAATTTTTTTACCACGATCGGATATAAGTAGTTTTTAAGGCATTGGGATCCTTTCCATTGATCACTGTGACTTGTTTTTGGGTTTATTGCTAGTTTCATCTCGTCTTGATAGCGTAAAGAATTCTTTGCTCTACCGAATATAAGATTAAAGGTAATTTTAATGAAGAGGACAATCTTTGTTAAGCACTGTTCGCTTAAAAAGCTGTTATCTTAATTTTCTCAATACAAGATGAGTAATTTATTTCAATGTCCTTACAGCGTGTTTCAGCCGCCTCGATGACCTAGCAGCAGTGACCTTAGCATGGAGCAAGATGATCTTGAAGAAAGATTGCATGCGAACATTCACACGATGAAAAGATTTTTTATATCAAATATGCAATTTTACAAATTTTGGGAAAGCTTGTTTGGATAGCCTCTAGCAAGGGCTGAGTTTGTTTTGATATGTGGGTTTGAGGGTCTTTTATTTTCGCCAATCTAAAGAATATGGAGGTCCTCAAACTTACTTTTTGAAAATTAGGCCTTAGGCCCTCTGGTCCTGTATTCTGAAGCAATGTTGTGATCTTTGATAATCGTTTATTTTCACGACCCCATTCAACAAAATAATCCTATAGGCAATTATCTGAATAGCATATGTCCTCCTTTTGGCGAAAAATCGTCTTTTTTAACTTTTACTAGTCCAGGAATGAAGGATTTCTATGCATGTGCCCTTCTATCAAGCACCCCAAAACTGTAGTATCAAAACTTCTTTTAGACCTGGAAATTGAATAATGATCCACGTTTAGCCTGCCGCTCTCCCATAGTACCCTTTACAATCATTCATTTGATAAACGATTAGGTACTTGATGGTTGCGCAACTCAACCAGGCTGTGTAGCATAGGTTTGATTTGTCAAAATAAGGAATTAAGGGCACGATTTCATTCCCAGAACCATTTTTTTGAAACATGTATATACTGTATCTTCATATCATATTAGCTTAGCTGTTTTGACAATTTGGTACCGCAGTGTTTCATCAAAGAAGTTCACTGATTTCTATGAAGAATGGTTCAAATATCCGTCCCATGGACTTCTTTTAACCTGCATAAGACTATTTGTGATTCGTCGGTGTCAATACGCTTCGATTATCACTCTTTTAATAATGATTTAGAAATCTATTATTTTACAAAGACTGTTAAACTTTCGCAGCAGGAAGAATGTTATTTGGAAAAAGAATAGAACTAACAACATCCTTTTGTTAAACATCCTTGGTTGAAATTTTGTGTAAGACTTTCAATTTTCTATATGATTTCAGGATTTTTGAAAATATAAATTGCGATCGATATAATGAACGCTTTACATCGATCACCAATATCTTTAGATACCTTTGTGAATTCCTGTGAGCCATTTTGTATCATATGCAGAAATTGAAATGTCAACCCAGTTACTGGCCCACAAGTTCATTAAGGCCTGCTCAATATCCTGTGCCCTTCTCGTTGCTGCTTTTGTATCTTTCTTGGCAGTTTTTTACCAAATTTTTTCGTGTTTGCCAAGCTTGATCTGAAATCGGATTATGCATGCAATGGCCCATGGTCTCAAAATACCCTCAAACCCGTAACATGAAGCGTGAATATTTCACTTGGCTTTTGAATGCCAATATGCCAAATAGATATTTTTAGCCATGTAATTTTAACATCGGGGCCATTGCCTGGAGCATATTCAATCCTCCCCCCTTTTAGTCAGACCCCGTGGCCACCTTACCCTTGAAGATTTAATATATGTATTTTAGAAGAACCTCTTTATGTTTCCTATTGATGTTTATGAATTCATGATCGCTTTGTCAGATTAGTGTTTTAAAAATCGTGCGTATTTTGTTGACTGACTTATTCAGATAATGTTTTTGCATTGATTTGGTGCGCTGTTTGTTCCATAGATATCCTGTCTCGTAACACTTTGATCATTTATGCATTTGCATTTATACAATTGAATCAGATAAAAAAATTCAACGTAAAAGAACAAGTTTATCTTCATCTTTTGTTTTGCTAGCCTTTATTTTCTTTTAAGCCCTTATGTATAGATAGAGATTTACTTTGGAAGAAACTATGAAGGTTACCAAGTAAAGAATTTGCTTCAAAGACCAAATTTTATAACAGAAAATTAAAAGCCTAGATTGACAATCAAAATAAATTTTGGAAAATGAACTTCATTTTGTTCAAAGATGTCGTCTTTTTAGCGATGTGTATGTAATATTTCAGAACTTGATACACATCTGGTGCTTCCAAAGTCTTTGCCCTAGGTCCAATTAGAAAGAAAGAATTGAATCGCTTGGAATATATATTAGCATGCCTATTTATTTGTTTAAGATTCTCTTGTCCTTTTTTCGATTAAAAACTTTCGTGACTAAAATGACACCTTGTGATAATTAATGCGTACAGATCTACAGTCCCAAAGTTCTATACCTGGTGTTCCCCAAGGCCCTGTCCACGCTCCGGTCCTGTTTCATGTAAATAGTTTTTCTTCGTAAGTCATGCCTAATTTTGTTCGTGTGTTGTACAAGGAATTTTAATTTCTTCTGATTTTTGATAAATTTTGACATTGTTTTTACGAGAAAGCTTCCAATCACAGCTTTAACGCGAGATACAGCGATGAAAATCAAGTTTAACTGTATTAGAACAACAAGATAAATAATTGGAAGCTTCTTCATCGTAGATATTTGAATTTCATTTTAGAATGCTGTTTGAGAAAATTGCTAATGTTTTGATCTAATGACATTGTTTTCCTTATGTCTTTCGCTTGCCTAGGCCTTTACCTAGAAAATTTAGGCATTAAATGAAAAAGAAAAAGATTCCCTCTATGTTGAGGAGGCATCTATTAGCAAGAAGCACGTTAGTTTAATGCTCGTTTATCTTCATAGTCTATGGGTGTCATGCGGATTGAATTCTGTTGAGAGGTGGAGGCAGATTTTTCATAATATCATTGACACCTTTGCAAAGCATCATTCGTTTTAATAACTTTTGAAGATTGCATTTCTTTTCATCTGAGAAACCTGTTTAATCATGGCATACAGCTTAACTTTCATGCTGTGTTATACTGGTTGCAAAAGTATTACCGATCACAAAGGGAAAGTGGCCAAATCTTAAAGAAAACGTGACTGCAGTGTTGAATGTCAAAGTTTTCAGGGGTGGATTTGCCGGGGGTGTGGAGGGTGCACCTCCTCAAACATTTTTGTTCACTTCGATAAATTTTGCTTTGATGCTGTAAAAATGCTTAGAATCTTCATTTTAAAAGTCGAGACTGAATTTTGTAAACAAGCGTTTCCATAAATTTTCTGTCACCTGAAGGGTGTGGCACAATGTCCAATCATTGTCCACCCCACCCCCTCCAATTCTTGCCACTTAGATTCGTCCCTAAAGATTTTGATCCTTTTCTGATGTCCAATTTGCAATGGATGGTTACCTGGTGGCAGCCCTTCGACGCAAGTAAAGAAAATTTAATTTGGTTCTGCTCGATTCGGTTCATTTAAATGCATCTCAGTTCTGTTCAGTGACAAAAGGGCAGCCGACCTTCTTAACTCATCATCAAATTCTAAACACAAACAAGTATCCACTCTAACAAACACATATCATCATCTCATATATGGATTGCATATGGAATACATAAGACATCCAAACTGCAATGCATCCAAACATCGATGACGCACCGTGTGTGAATAGCATGAAGAAGTACGTGACGCGACGCTCGATGACGCTCAGTGATGCGCCGCGCCGTGACGCGTCCAGTGTGAATTCAGCTTTATGCTTCACAGTGGCTTCGAGAACATATTGTTCACCATCATTTCAAGACATGTTTTGTTGCAAACCTTAAACTTATTGAGTCAATCCAATTTGATGCTTTTCTTATTTTTGGAGTGTGTGTTATTTTCAAAAATATGGATACCTTCTCCTTAGGTTTTTCTCTGAGGTGTGAAGAAAAGAGAAAATCACTGACATCACAAGCAGTCGGCTGTAGACATGTTTCGCCCAATATCAGAGCTCATCACAGGCACCTTGGAGCATTGAAAAGATTGTCCCCCTTCTCCGCGGTGCCTGCGTCAGTGCGGCTAGAAAAAATGAGGACCTAGGGCTGACCCATTGCCAGTGGCAATGTATATTTTTCAAAAAAAGAGATTTTCTCTGATGCTGCCCCATTGCCCGAAAGAGGCTGGAATGAATGCGAGACCGATCTTCTGCAGCGCGTTCCGCGAACATGTCGTGAAGTCTGTTTTTGAAAGAATTGTGAATCAACAGCTGAACGAAAAATTTTTATATCTCATTCAGCGGGAGATCTTTGAGCGTAAGAGCAGGACAGGCTTGTCTGAAATATCTGGTTGGAACAATCGTTGCGCGAATCAATGACTGTAAAAGACCTGGCCAATGTTGTTTACAAATGAAAATAGACTTGTTGGCAAGGTGACACGATTTGTTGAATTGCTTATGTAATAAGCATTGTCAAGCAAATATACTCTTGATTGGTTCGATTTCATACGATTCAACTTGCAAGCAACACTGATCTACATAGCAATTACGACGGAGTGAAGAGAAAACTCTCCTGTTGCTATGTCCATTGGGTCTCCAGCAATGACACCTCACGTCGGCCTGGAAGGTCTGTTTGCAGACTATACCGCAGGGCTGTAGGCAGAATAACAGGCAAAAAGGATAAACAACAATTCAACGACAGTTATTTATTTGATCTGTGTGACAAGAGCGCGAGGAGAGGAGCATTTCAAGGACTCGCAGTCATTGACGTAGCGATAGAAGTTTGTAATGACCCAATATGTCAAGATTCGTTAACGCAGAGGAACGAAAGATCACTTTTGGGGAGGGAACAACGATCAAAGATGTCCAGGTAAATTTCTTTTGATCTTTAGTCGCTTTATATCAATCGCAGACCGTATTGATAAAGAGATAAAAACTGATGCAAAAAAGCTGCAAAAGCAACCGAGAAGTTTCCTTTATCTCCTAAAGTTCACAGTCGGTAAGAAGCATTTATTGAGTATTTTCACTGTTACCTGGTGAGTATTAATACTACACTTTACAGTGTGAAATTGTTTTAACGACTGATGTTATCGTGTCTAGTTGGCAAGGATTCATCAAAACGTTACTTTCAAATATTTCTTTGATTAAAGTTGTTCCTAATCTAATAGATAGATATTAAAGATTATAATTTACAATAACTTGTTTCATTCCGCAATTGTTTAAGTGGCTGCCTTTTTAAATGCCCTTATGATTTGAGGCCTATTAATATTGCAAGTTTTCATAGATTTCACAATAATTGGTAATAATGCTATTTATCTATCGAGAAAAATGTATAGAGCTGTCAGTCTTCTTCATTTATCAAAATAATCTTTATGCTGGCTAATGAAATCTGGGAGTCTTATCATAAAGCAAAATACATCATCCTTGTCATGTACTCCTGGCAATGAAAAAATGCATTCACTAAGGTATTGCCAGTGCACGGTTTGCCAGCATATTGATGTTAACTGGCAGATGATAAAAAAACAAGGAGTAGATAAATGAAAAACATGCAGCTTGAAAATCTATGACATAGAGAGTAGAATCTTTTTGTTCACTAATCTGGTGATAAATTTCCATGAATCGGTTCGTTTCAATGAAGATCTTGCACAAAATATGCATCCTTGAAAAGTTTGGATTGATGCAATGCCTAGAGAAAATGCTGTATTTGCATTTCCCTTCTTCTTGTTAAAAAACCTCTTGTTCTCTGTTGATGAAATTTGATTTGCCCTTGAGAGCACTCTTAGAAAAGGTATTGTTTTTAATTGCTTCATCTTTAATTTGGTTTGTAAATGTTTTAAAAGCAAATTGTCATTTGAAACTAATTGTGATATGAAGTAATCAAGCTATTGCTCCCAATCTGAACATAAATTTTTTCATCAATTTGTTTTGTAAATTGATATTCTCAAGCTTTACAGCCACTTGAGCAATTGAACATTACTGTCCATTACAAGCACAACCTAGAATCATTTATTGTAAATCTAATTTCATAGGATAGTTCTGCCTTTAAACCACAAAAGTGCCCCTTCTAGTAGCACATTTGAGAGACTGGGAGAATATTCATTTTCATATCCATTGTTTGTTCTCAGCATTTTCTGTCTGATAATATTTATAGCTGGGTGTTCTTTCTTGATGAATTAGAACAAAACACCTTTCTTGATGCAGATTTCTTCTTTTTGATTACATTCATACATAATAAAATGTTTCTAAAGAACTAATTTGATTTTTTGAATATATTTCCTTAAAATTTACTCTGCTAGATGTAAATTCCATATAAAAACCATAGCTACCCTAGGATTATTTTGATTCAGGTTTTCTTATTTCAATCAAGACAAAAACTACTGCAGTACAGAATTGTGTCAAAAAAGTCTATTTCTTCAAAAGGTTTATTGTATACTTAAGTGTTAGCTTAAAGATTTCTTAAACTTGCTTTTGAATCCAAATTGTCATCAATCATGTCACAGATCTGCATATTGCAATAAAGGTACAGGATTGTGTTAGTGAAAATATGTTTTTATCGAAAGTTAAGTAGATACTTGATTTCTTCAGCAAACTCTTAAACACAAATTTTCACCAGTCATGCAACAGATTTTTAAAATTCACCAAAAACTCTTTTGACATTTAAATACTTCCTTCCTGAATTTTTCATTTTCATTATGGCATCCAACCAATGGTTCTTGTTCTGTTGCTGCCCTTACCATTTGGTGACAGTTAAACTTCCTGTCATCTAAAACTACCATCTTTAATTACTGATTAACCTTTATTTGTGCTGCCAACAATATGGCTGCTTAGAAAGAATTTACTTTGAAAATGGATTTGTTTTTATGAAGAATGATTTCCTGAAAAAAGTAATCCCTCTTGTCTTTTTCATTTTCAGTAATATTTGTCATTGTTTTGGCTCTGATAATTTCATACAGTTATTTGAAAATCCGTTTGACTTGGAAAACATGAAAAAACATGAAAGTTAAATGATGAAGGATCAAAATTGATTTGATTTGAAAGCTCGTATATATGTTTAGTGCGTTACAGTTTTTCAATAAGCATTTCTGCCATTTTGAATTGCTATGGCAGCAACGTTTCCATAGCTACCTTGGATCTTACAAGCAGGTGCTTTTTTATCCATCTGGATTGCGCACAGTATTGCTACTGCCGAGGATTTCATTGAGAAAAGAGGATTTAATTTACTTTGCAATTCACAGGGCTTGCTTTAGTTCCATTTTCTTTACAACAGGCCTATTGGCTAAACTCCATCACCATTGTTATGCAAAATAGGAATGTCTATTTCCCAATGGTGATTCGGTTTTTCACCAGCCTTATTGCCCTGACAACATTTCCAATTTTAGCTTAATGCTACTTATAATAGTGCAAGAGCACTGGTTAGGGTGTTTCGTGGTTTTGCAAATGGTGTTTTATTTCAAGATGCCCTTTTACGAGTATTGCAGCATTCCTAAGCGTATTTCGCAAGTTCGCCGGTTACTGTGCCCTGGCACGAATCTAATGGGAAAATATTTCCCCGTTCTGCCGCAAGCAAACTTTTCACGGAAAATTAATGCATTTCCAAAGAGTGAAAATTCTCTGAAAATGCGTAAAATTTTGCGAAAGCCTCGAAAGTCTGTCAATAACCTTGAGAGGAGAGTGTGGGAGGTTTTAATGTTATCTGATCATTTTTATAGTACAGTATGGTGTTTTTGTTGTATGTCCTTCAACCAAAATTTCGGGCAAAGTCCTGAAAAAGGGAAAGGGCAGCGTACGGAAAACATGACTATTATGCGAAAAACGACCGTTGCGAACGCCAATGGAAACAACAATACAAACACGCTTTACCCAAACCTCACATTTTTTATTTGTCTTTAAAATGTTTTCAGAGCCTAAATTTATTGTGCTTAGGATGAATAGGAAATACTGCTTTGGACTCTTGGATTTAGAGAAGGTCTTTTTAGGCGGGGGGCGAACCTTCTTTATGCTCTCAAAGGTATCTAGTATCTGATTTTTAAAGGTTTTCATATAAGAATGATGAACATTATAATTAGAGTCTTTTTAAAGAGAACGGTATAGCTAGTAAGAAAAATGGGATAAGAACTTTTGGGGAATTTGTTTCAAATAGTTGAAGAAACCTGACTACATGTTGTATATTCCCAAAAAAAGCTATTTAAGATTTTACAGTGAAGACACTCTGTTGTCGTTGCAGCGTGAAAAGAAATTACTTACCTATTTTCTTAAAATCTATACATTAAAAAAAGTTTAGAATACTTGAATTCGAAAAAAGCACCCTAAATCCCGTGCAGCATCCGTTTTCAGCAGTAGAGAATCATTCCAAGCAACATTTTATGTGTAATTTCTAGCAAAATGATCAAAATTGTCAAAATTACTGTTTTGGTCACGAGAGGCAACCACTCATAAAGCCACAATCAAATGATTTGATTTGTGTTCGCATGTCAGATAAAAAACAAATATCGGTTACCATATTCTTTTTGGTTGCATTTTTGCGGAAATATTATAGACGAAATTACTGAAAAATATGAACCAATTTGAATTATAATAGTTTTTCATCTGTAATATTACATCGTTCAAGAACAATACAGTCAATATAATGGCGAGCTGGAAAATCACAATAACAGTAACTCGGTACCACATGAAATGATGGACCATGTAAAAACAAAATGCGCCTTATAGATGAAATATTAGACCCACGAAAAGACATAGTATTTATGATAACTTTGGAAAAATGTCTATTTTTGATGCTTTGAAGAATTTTCTAAGATCTGTAGCTTAACGGAATCATCAACATACAAGACCATTCCCTGCGTACATGCCGTACTTGCCATTCCAAATACCTAAGAAATAGTTACGTATTCAAATATCCTTTTCTTCTATATGTTTGATTACGTTTCGCAATTCAGTACAGCTTCTCCAATTGTTTCATAATCGAATCTTTGTGTCATAATTTCTTTTTTTCCACTCACCATATGTCCTGCTAATAATCCTCTCATATTGTTCGATGCCTATCTGTTAAAAGACTGTCCTTTCCAATTTCCTAAACGATTTCACAACCGACTCAATTATTTCTTGCGCAACGATCTAGTCTCGACACATTTTTCAGAATTTCGTAACATAAACTACTTTCTTATTGAAATAAACTGTTCTGCAAAATCAAAGTTGGAAACTGCTTTCGGAGTTGGGGGGATGGGGGGGGGGTGTTTGGGTGGTTGAATAGGTAACTAAAAGCAGTTTGTAGCTAGCAAACTTGAGACACAAATTTCCTCTTAGTGAATTCAACCCCATTAAACATTTCTAGATGCATGTGATTTTTATCTATATTTTCTGTCTGCAGTTTCGTACACCCTTTGTCGGCACTTACACAGAAAATTATCGTCTGTCTCTAGCGCCATTTAAAAGCTTTTGTAGATTCAAATTTGAGCCGTAATTTCTTTAAACTGCAACCTCCGATCATTAAAACGCTCATATGTATGCATGCTCTTGCTACATACGTTACAGCAGAATAAAAGAATCTTCGAATCGACTGAAACTGCGGTAAAATGTTCTAGGAATATTTCAGATGTGTTTGAGGATAGAACATATTCTTTTGCAAGACAACGCGCTGTAAAACACTGATTTCTTCTCATCGCAAAAAAAACTATTGCAATTCGAATCAGTATCCAATTTTCAGTGTTACATTTATTCGATAAGGTTGGATGTGGCTCGCTTTTCTCTGTTTGCTAAAAGAAATTATTTACACGTGTGATTGACGACTCGTAAGTCGCCCGATTTCTTGTGAATTCGTCACATGGATGTCTTAAGTGGTTGTGCTATCTTGTTTAAAAGTGCTAGCAAGTTTTCTTCACCTGTCCGCCCATGCGTGTTCACATAGAATCCCTGAACATAACCTGTTGAATCTGACACTTCCATCTCTTAACGTTCAGCAACAAAATAATAAGTTTTATTTACGAGGTGGCCTCGTAGCACTCTCTTGTTAGGCTAAAGATTCTGAATACTGGACCAATTTTAAGAAAATCTTTTAACTGCAGCTATTTTAATGATATTAAGTCGTTTTAGTATCTATTTTCCTGTTGTGTAGCTTATATTTTACTCTTATTATCTTCGTTGGCTTTTTTCGAAATAGTAAGTATTTCTTTAGCATAACAGAAAACTGTTTCTTTTAGTTTTCTATGCATCAAAGATCGCTTTGGTACTCTAGATTTCTCCAATAGAATCGATCTTATAATTTATAAGGGAATTCTTGAGTTGTTATGTGCATTTAAATGATTTTTCCACAAATTTTGAATTAACCTTATTTAAACATTCAATCAGGGATACTTTCAAAAAGGAGACAAATGTGCATTTTAATGCTATTTCCTCAAGTTGTGAATTAACTTTATTTAAAAGTTCAATCATGGATTCTTTCAAAAAGTAGACAAATGAATTTTTGGCAAAAATTCTTTGTGATTGCAGACACGCGGAACCTTACAGCTGACAGTAAATTTGGTCCCATCAGTGTCCGCTATATTTTGAGTTTTACTGGATTTTTGCGTTGGCAATTGAAGACAGGGACTTGAATTGTCCAGTTTAACCTTCATACTTAAAGTAATAAACAAAATTTCAGCTCTTTTGATATGATTGTTGGGCTTACATTCTATGATTATTTCGTGGTAGCTATGTGTTTGTTGCCCTGAGATTGCTTCTGCAATGCTTTGACCCTGCAATATAAGTTTTTGACTTGAGTGGCTCAGAGGTGTTAGCTGCAAGGAAGTGATCATTAATATATATTTCACTGCAATGATTTTGGTTTAACGCTACATTTTCACTTCGTTTTAATTTAATATCATGAAATATTATTTTAATTTCAGATTCTGTCTGCTTGAAATGTGTGTGTATTTTTTTTGCTAAATTTCTTTGAATATATTTTTGTCAATCACTCACTTATATTGACCAAGAAGAATAAAATATAAAAATTTTTATTTTAGGAAGCACTACAGTGCGGAACTAGGTATGACACGATCGAGTTCGTCAAATGCAGTGAACTCCCGGAGGATGAATTCCACGAAGTATTTCCAATGGTCAACAAGGACTTACAGACTCTTATTATTGTCAAAACCCCATGGATCAATGACGAGACAATGGAGCTGTTCACTGCCTATTGTCATAAAATAAAGAAGTTTCATATGATTGGTCGCCTGTCTAAAATCACTCGTGTCGGAATCGAATCGATTGGCCGGAATTGCTCAGAAATCGAATCCGTATCAATCATTTTCACCGACGATGACGACGATCAAGGAGGCGACTCGATCAACGAGAAAAAACATAAATGGACATTGGATAATCAGATTTTTCCTGCCCTTATTAATAACTCGTCAGCCCGAATTAAACATTTTGCTTTGTGTGGATTTACATCGATAACATTTGACGCCTTGAGGAAATTTTTAGACCATCTGAAAAACAGTTTAGTTTCTCTTGATTTCAGCAATCTTTCTATTATTGATGACAGTGCCCTTGAGCAAATTGGTCGCCAATGTAGGGCGCTGTTGTCTTTCAAGGTGAATAACTGCCCCAAGATTTCTCACCATGGAGTCATTGCACTCGTATCGCAAGGACTTATGCTGCACGATTTAGAGGTTGCTGGTTCAGAGCACTTGACAGATGCAGCAACCAACGCTGTAGCCAATCATTGCCCGACGCTGAAATCTATCAAACTTGACTACGGTATTAAACTTACTGAAACGTCGCTACGCATCTTGGCTCAGCACTGTAAGGACCTAGTGCGTATCAGTATGCGCGGGACTGGGATCCGGGTCATTCCCTTGGAGATCGCAAAATTGCCTAAACTCGTTGAATTGAATGTTAGCGGGTGCAGGGAACTAAACTTCCCAAGTCCTCATATCATAGAAGAAGGCCTAGACGCCATTATAGAAAATCTTTTAGAATGCAATATTACTAAAAGAGTACGGATAATGTTTGTCGGAAGTCAGCAGAGTGGCAAATCAAGCATTATCATGTCACTACAATCGCTGACCGGGAATGTTGCTGATAGCCAAACGCTTGGTATCCCTGTGCGAACATGGCTGCCATTCAAGGACCGAAAATCAGGAGGTGAGAATCAATTTTAGAACTTTTATGAATGTTTCGTCTTTATTGCTTTGCTCTGGTACTCCTCTTGCTATGAAATTCCAGTTAGTTTCGGCCTATGTCAAATTCATGATTAATAGAGCCAAAAATTCATGACCAAAAAAAAACCAAACTTGTAATCTACAAAACAAGAATGCAATTATTTAACAAATAAAAACTAACAAAGTAAGTTTGTTTTTTGAAGTAATTTGCGTTGACATAGTATGCTAAGCTATTGGTAGTCATATTAAAACATCTTGTAGGATGTGAGTTTAGCATTGTTGTTTAACGTAGCCTGTCTGTTTTAGTTCCCAAAGCACTGAAGAAGGCAATAGAGAGGAACTTGACTATTGAAGAAACTGGCTTATCTTTGGAGATTTGGGATTGCGCAGGACGAAAGGTATAGTGGTCTTACTGCAACACCGAACAGTGTTATCAATCGAGTTCTTAAAGCTGTCCCTTAATATGATTTTTGTCAGTTTTCGGAAGAATCTTTTTGACAGTTATTGCGATTAATATAGCGATTGTGATTGTGGTTGCGATTGTGATTGCGGTTGCGATTGTGATTGCGATTGGGATTATTCTGTACGAGTCTTAACATGTTTTGGCCGAAATTCTGTGTTGTTGTTACAGAACTGCTCTTTAAGTGGAGTGATTATGTCCAGATTAAACTGTAAAGGATTTTAATTTAAGAAAACTTCTTGTTTGCACTGATTATTTATTTTATTAAGAATTCTTATTCAATGTTTACTTTGATCTGCAAGGATTTATCCTTAGGATAAGAGGATTGTCTGCTTGACCAATGCCACATTGTTGTCTTGGGGAGTTTTTAAAGTAGCGGATTCAAGTGTACTTATTTCGCCTAAATTCCTATGAAAGTTCCAAACAATATTTTCAAGATCTCCATCCACGTTCCGATGAATTTTGGTTGAGTGAGAGTGGTTTATTTTAAAATTCGGGTTTTCCCAATCTTTAATGGAATTTTTTTGAAGGTTTTGATGATCTTAAAGAATTTTCTGCAATTTACTTTTTTTAGGTCCTGCTTTTTGTTAATTTTTGACTGTTTTTGTTTATTGATAGGCATTGCAAGGAATCCATCCATTGTTCATGGGTCCGCGATCTTTGTATGTTGTCTGCTTCAATGTTGCCATGCACAGCAGCATAGAAAAAGTGTACCAATGGGTTAATACGATTCAAGCAAAGGTATGTTTTTGTTTGCTAACAGAAAACAATAGTTGATGATTTGAGTGATCATAGGTTGTTTAGAGTGATTACGATGATCGAAGTGACAAGACAATGTACTCGAGACAGTAGAAACAGTGATTTGCGTAATCAAAAACTCAGGGACGCCGGAGAGGGGGGCGCGGGAGTCAGCCGCCCCTGTTACCTTTTGATAGGAGGGGCAAGGGGGGTTAATGTGCCCTTTTCATAGAAGTGCCCTTGACGCCGGTCTTTTGTAGGAAATCCATGAGATTAATATGAAATCCTAACTGTATTGCCTTATTTATGACGACACTTCTCGAAACTTATGAAGAAATCTCTTATGCCAAAATTTAGCCGATTTTTGAGATACTGACAGAAGATCGAAAGAAAATGACAGTTACGAAAGAATTGTTGGTAGCAGGGAATCAATTTTTCAAATGCCCTTCTACTCAAGCCCGCCCCCTTTGCCCCTTGGTCGTTCCAGCGTACCTGCAAAGACTACCGTATCAGTGTTTGAAGTTGATAGAAGCAATGGTGTAACGATGTTTTCCAATATAATTCAATAACCAACAACCAAGCATATACGGTATTAGTGGGTATTTCCTCCCATAAACTACCTTATTTCTCAAAAAAAAATTTCTTACAGCCTTTTTCATCTAACGCAGGGCATTCCATGCTCGTTCTTCATCGAAACATACCTTATTATCACACTCCTTTATCTCTTTTAATCATTTTCCAAACAGCCTTGTTTTGTTAAAATTTAGAGGTTCTGGTATATAGAAAATCCATAAAAAGTTAAGCCATTATAATAGTTACTCTATATAAATATAACTTTTTATTTGTTGTTAAATTTTCAAGCAGGAAAAAGGCATAAATACAAATCTTTCTTCAAAAATGATAAAATTTATACAATAGAAGTCTTTTCAATATGTTCTTTCGGGAAGTGCATTTTTAAAGCTACATAATTAAAAAACCTGTTTTGTTACAGAACCCTGGAGCGCCGATCATTATTGTCGCATCTCACAAAGATTTGGCTAAAGATGAAAACACTCTGAAGTCTATTTGCTCAGGCGTTATGACTCGCTTAAAGGAGATGGAAATTGAAAATGTTCGTCGAATCAGACAAAACCTAGAATCAATACAGTAAGTTCTGTCATCATCGTCAATTCTCTCAATATTTTCAAACTTTAGGCCTAATCGCCATTTAAGGCGATCAACAGATACTAAAGGGGCTTAAACCATCTATCAATCAAAATTTAACCAATCGGTGAGCGTTTTTCCACTAACATGCTCTTGATTGGCTAACCTTGATTGGCAGATGGCTAACGTCACTTTTATATCTGTCGCTTGCCTTTAAGCAATGCACTTTACAAAATGAGATTTATTCCCCCCCCCCTTTTCCTTACTTTTCCCAGTATCCCTCCCTTTCAATTTCGAGTGAGAAATTCAGGGACGACGTAGTTATTCATCAGTTAAATTATAGCTACCTTTTCTTTCTTTTTTCAAAGTACTTCAAAGTTGACAGGCTACTGCATCAGTCAATTCAAACCTTTATTCTATTATCGCATTTGAACATAAACTTGTTGCAACTTTTGTTGCTACCCTGGAAAGGTTTTACTAAGGAATATATATAACATCGATTGTAAGCAAGATGTTATTTAACTTGATATTAACCATTGTATGAAATGGTGACCAAAGGGTGATAAACTTTCTGCTCAGTATTTGGCGCAGAAGTTGTGTTACTGTTAACCAGAACTCTTACTGATTTAATCATTCTTGTTAAATGCTCCATAGTCACCTACCGTTTTAAAATTACCCCAACCTAACTTTTACGTCATGCTACACAGACCTGGTAGTGTCTCTCCTAGGGAAGGAGTTTATTCTTACCTATTTACCTGTCATTGGGTGTGTTGACTGTTTTTACGCTGAGAGGTTGCCGTTTCCAAGGCAATGTCTTGTTTTCGATCTAAAGAAGTTCCCGGATGTTAATATAGGATAAATGAAAGGCATTAACTGTATAGAAAAACCTAGAGGAAGGCATTTACATAGACGAACCTCCTTTGTCTTGAGCACTCGTACATTAAATATCGATGACATAGTTTCAGCGTTGTTTACAAGAAGAACGCCCTTGTTGCTCAAGATACAGTCCTATTTAGGCAGCCCTTTTTATAAGACCAGAATGGGAAAGGGTGGAGAACCAGAATTTGTTAGTCTTAAGTTGCAAAAATCATCTATGGGCCCCTGACAGATTATTCTCAAAACTGGAGTTGTGGCACGTTTGCTGCCATTAATCTGGCAATAACTTTGTTTACTCTTATTGGTAGGTTTTTTGTCCCTGTAAGTATGCTTCCTGATTTTAGTTAGCACAAGCGTACCGGCTGTTTGAATTTTTGTAACGTATGCTATGACAGTTTAAAACGAATTGACGAAAAATGCGTGAACTCCACCCTTTTTAATCCAACTTTCTTTGTTTTGGGGATATGCAATTGACAACAAATCTGCTACGTCTTTATTCCAAAACATACGTAAATTGTGTTATCAGTGAAAAACAATTTTTTAAAAACAGCTGCATTTCAACAAAGCTTTGCAAATTCAAAAAGATATTCAGACGCCTATTCAAAGAGATTTTTGACAAATATTGGCAGTTTGTTGTTTTCGTTATTGGTTATCTCGACCAATTCTCAGAATATGATTTAAAATCTTCCTTCTTGGTTTCTGTGTAAAATGTGATGCCGTCAGATTTAAAATACAAAGCTCAAAGCTTGAAGTTTCTTATTATCCGTTTTTATCCAAAATGATATAGTGAAAAAAGTGTATTTAGTTCAACAGGAGTTTATTCTGGTAGTTAATAAGGGTAGCTGTTTCGTTAGAGTTATAACAAAGTGTAAATTATGTCAATTTTAGTGTCAAATACGTCATGTTTCTGAGCATTACCACAAAACACTAATTTTACGTCATAAGCTGCGAAGTACACCTGCAAGTTTGTCCTCATGGTGATAAAATAAATATTGACTTAGATAAGTGTGCATATCATATTATATATTCTTTTAGCAAAAGCCTCTCCCTGCATATGCTTTCGATTGCTGTAATTTCAGCTAATTTTGATTAGATATTTTTCAGGACATGCAGGTAACCTTATAGGTTTACATGTTCCACTTTTGAAATGAAGAAAGGACCAAAATGGTCATTAAGATAATATATATGTGGCATGCTCCCCCCCCGGCTGCTCTCAGCTCGGCCATGATTTTGATTCTAGTTTCGAAATTTACAGGGGGACTAACTGTGACTCATATACGTTGATTTGTAGTGCTTGGTCTTATAAGCATATTTCTCCATTATTCTTATATAAATCTTATGTAAACAATATTTTCTGTGAGAAAATGACTTAGTTATCAATCAATGCAACTTATTGATCTCCATGATATCATGATATTCATGATATCCCCTTATAAATGACCCAAACTATATTTTCTCATTCAAGCGCTCGTCCTAAAAAGAAGCAAAATGAATTTTACATAAAAATTCTATGGCACACAAAAAGGAAAGCAGTGTTTCCATTTTTAAGCCATTACTTGTATGCTTGTGGACCTTGTTGTTGGGACTAACAATATTTTATGTTTTTCAGTCTTTTTTGCCACTCCATTTCATTTTAGTCATCTTTATTCAACCTGACAAGGACTTTTTCTAATGCTGGCTTCTTATAAAAGTTAGCACTACCATTGATGAATTTCGTGCTGTGTTTTCAAAATGAAGTTCATCTGATTGATCAACTTTTACTTCGAAAACGTTTGACTATTCATTGGAACAACTTTCAATCTAGTGTAGCTACTTTTCATTTTCAGGTTAAGTATTCTTTTAAATGAATTGTAAATATAGGAAAAATAAATTTTCAGCCTAGAACTGGAGAGCCACAGTTTGCTTTGAAATGTAAAACAGTGTATATATGTATCTATGTAGAAAAAAGTTTTCTGGAACGTGCTTCACACTTTCAACGAGGAATCATGAGCCTATGTGTGTGTGGTTATTTGTATTTGTGTCTATGTATATATGTATATGGTTAACAAAATACTGTTTTATATTGAAAATTGGAATTTTTTGTATGAATTTCCATTCTTACAATATTTTAATTTTTTGAATTTTAGGGATATGAGCGAGGAGGGTCTGATCAAAGCCAGAAAGGATACTTTAAGAATGATGTTGGAACAACGACCAATAATACATAAAAATGTGGTTGCTGTCAGCTCAATTAACGAACAGGTCAGTTGAAATTTGAGCGAAAATATACGAATTTGTGACATCTTTGTAACTGGTAGTCTTATATTGGTTAACCTGGCACTTTGGCCAAAACCCCCACTCTATAGGGGTCAGGTCTTTGATTGATACCAGTGATTTAATTTACTGAATAAATTAACCTGTGTAGATATTTAAGATTATTATTATTTGAAAAAGGCTTTGAAACAAGCAAACATTTAGTAAACTAAAGCTTTAGTTTACTAACTGTTTACTTTTTTCAAAGCCATTTTCAAGTTTTATGCCACCAAAAGATTGTTTGATTATAATTATTATTGTACGAGGTAATATTTGATTCAGTCATTTAATTTAGCGTTAAGAACGGCAAAAGACTTCTTGATTTCGAGGTTAAGAGAGGTGCCTCAGCTTCAAATTACAATTTTGCAACAGCCTGCATAATGTCTTGTTTAATTGACTATTGGTTCATTAAAATGTTTTACCTCTCATCGTAAAGTTTGGAGAGAAAAGTACACATTTTACTGCTGGCAAAAGTCAGATGCAACCTAGGTAAAAAAAGGTTGAGATCATAACAGAGCTTCAAAAAAGGAAATTATTCTCCGCCATCTTTAAGGAGAGATAATTCAGTCGCCATGAAAGATGAAAGTTGAAGAATAGCTGAGAATATGCTAAAATAATAACAGTAAAAGCTGTGATGAACCAAGGTTTAAGATCTTGAATGTGGTAGAATCTATAGTTGGCCGCTGTTTTGGGGGCTAAAGAGACTGCTCGTTGAAAATAGGGGCCCCTGTAAGGAGGTGTCCGTTGTAAGGAAACGTCCTTTCTATGGATTTGTCCGTTGTAAGGAGGTGCCTTTTTTAAGGAGGTGCCTTTTTTAAGGAGGTGCCTTTTTTAAGGAGTTGTCACTTTTCCGAACGTTGGTTATAAGTTTTTGTTACAATTATAACTTTTTTGTTACCAATGTGTATCGCATGACGTTGAACTTAATGGTATCGAAAGAAAGTGTTGAAAAAATAAATAAAATCTGGAAAATCTCACATCAAGATGAAAAGAGTTTATGATATTGTTATTGAAATATTGTAATTCAAAAAGGCTTTGAATGTTAATAATTAGTATTGATAACAATTATCTGTTTATTTGGAGATATTTATTACTGGAAATATCACAGTCACGAAATTGATTTATAAATTTTTTTTACAAGCTTACGGTTATCAGAATAATTTTTCTTTCACAGGGAATCGCAGAGCTTCGCAAACTGCTAGTGGAGAAAGCACTGAACACAGATCTTTTCCCTGCCTATAACTTGAACAAGGGCTCGGAACAACTTTGTGTCGAGTTGCTGAGGCTGCGGCAGCAGAGCCTCATTGTACAGACACTGACAGATTTCAAAAGACGCGCCAAATATGTTGGAATAGAAAACGAGGCTGTTTTGAAGAAAATCATGGAGGATTTGAATATGGTGGTAAGTTGACTGTTGTTAATCTAATAAGGCAGTTTAGTAAGCAGCCATCACCATCAACTTGAAAATCGCCCTTTACTAACAGCCTCTGTTATCCAGTTAGGTAAAGCCAATTGCGATCGCAATAAAACTATTGTATTTGAACACACAGAGTCTTTATTTTGCCATATCAGTATTTAGACGAAGATATGGCACTTTGAGAATAAATTTCATTTTCCACGACAGTGTGAAACGATAACAATCTTATTTAGCCAGAAGAACAGTTGTGAAACCTTAGTAGAAAAAATAGATTATTTCATCCTGCCTGGAACCCGAAGATGGGTTTTTAGACAAAGACTAAAGCTTATCAAAGTGTGAGTTTATTCTTTTGGCTAGCCACACGTCATGCTATGTGAAGATGAATTTTAAGCATATTGATGTATCTCATTATTTATGCTAACAGAATAATCATATCGGACACATGAATCTCCAGCCTTGTATGATTTTTAACTCAACAGTTGGCTAGCCATAGCTTCTTTATTAAATGCTTACAAATGTTGGTGGCTTTTTGCATCTTCTGTGATAAAAACTCACTTAAAGGTATTTGACATGCATAAGTACAGCGAATCAATAAATAACTCGATCATAGCATGCGCGTTTGAAAGGAATTTAAAACTGCTCACGTGAAACCACTCTAGGGTTTCGCTGATTTGCAGAAATGCGGAAACTGTTCACATGTTTTTTTTCTCGGGGCAATTCGATTGGTCAACCGCTGGAGGTCAAGTAGCTGTAAGCCACTTTTACCTGTGTTGAAGGCCTTTAACGTGTGTTATTCTCCTTCTGTTTAGGGTTGTATTATGAGTTTCAATTATCCACGGCATCTAACTCCGGATAACGAACAGATCATTTGCATTGACCCAGCATCCCTTGCGAACACAATGGCTGGCATTTATCGTAACGAGGACAATCCTCAGGACTTGGTAAACCTCTTACAGAGAGGTGGTCACGTGGATACATTCTGGCCCAATGCGAAGCCGAACGATTGGACCTTGCGAGGCGCGTTCACAAACATCACCCATAATGGCATGATTAGAGAAACGATTATACCATTGTTGCTTCATCTCAGTCTTATACACGTACGTTAAGTTCAGATTTTCATATCTTTGAAAAACCCAAACCAAGCATGGTTCAAGTGTTTAAACTTGCATGTTTTCCTTTCTTTGCAAGTTCCAGGCTTCATTTTATTTTTTTGTTTTGTTTGGCAATCGAGAAATTTCACGGCTAAAAACAGCATTATATCAGTGGCAAGATATATAATGCAAAATCTTTTATTGATATCTCTTTAATGTAAATTCATTGTCCCGTTCCACAATTTCCACAATTTTCTTTCAAAGACATTGGCATATGGACACCGAAAGAAGCCTTATGATATGACATAAAGAAGCTCTTTTATACTTTATTCTTCAAAGAAATTGATAAGACTTTGCACGTTTAAACCCTGCCAAAAGAAGCAATTTTCGAAAGTAAATTCAGGCTATCGCCCTATCCCCCAATTTTATTTTCTATAAAACGACGTATAGGATTAGGAAGTAAAATATTTTTGTGTGACTTATGCAAAATTTGGCTAAACTATCAACTTTGTTCTCGGGGAGGGGTGAAAGAAGTAATATCTAGGGAAAGAACTAAAAGACCTGTTCTAAATAACGTTTGCAGGCATTGTATAATTATAACTTGTAAAAAATTCCAAAACGGGGTATGCTGAATGTTAATTTTTGATAACTAAATTGCTTTTTTTTCATTGACAGCAAGGACAATTAGATGAAGACCAGGCCAAACTCCTCATCAAAGTCATGGAATGGTTGGTTATCCTTGTAAGCGGTGCCCCCAACGCCAGCTATGACGTTGAGCTGATTCTGACCAACTACAAAAACTTGTCTGTTTACAAAAGATACTTCATGCCATTTCAAGGAAAGCTCCCAGTTATACCCCAGGTGACCATTTGCATTTGTTTTTCTCACTACCTAGCAACCGAAAGTAGGTTTCAGGTCCCTGAGAAGATGTGACTAACGAGCTATGTCCTTGTACTGTCCCTCGATGTTACCATTCCTATGCTTAGAATCGCAGTGAGTTCGTGACTCTCCATATACTAAGTGAATGTTTGATCATGGCAGGAAATCGAATAATACAATTTTTAAGTTAAATCACGATAGCTTTCAACTGTAAATTAAGCTTCTGGTTCCAGTTTTTTCATGAAATCGCAGAAAAGCACACTTTCTCAAAGGAATTAATTTTACAAGAATATTGAGGTGCAAAATCCGTGAAACTATAAAATCAATTAAGAACTTTAGCCCGAATTTCATCGAAGAGATTTGACCTTTCATCCTTATAGCTTTGTTGAGCATTACTAGCGTGACTCTTTTTCAAAAGTTAAAAGGAACGCTGAAAAAGCTCGCAATGTCCTTTTATGTTTCATTTTCTACAGTGTTTTCAAGATTGAGATAGAGGGTTGGAAAGATTTGAATTTTAGTCTAAAGAATGATTTGAGAATCATTGTTGCTTTAGAATCACAAAATTTAAGGAATATTGAGGATTGAAAATTCTTTTCAAGATATAGCCATGTGTCCGTTTCAACACCCTCGTTTGTGGAGAAGGTTCCTGACACCCTGACATAATTTTATATTGTTGGCTTTCATAAAAAAATGAACGTTTGTGGTATAAGCAATTTTTGAATACTCTTTTATAAGTGTAGTTCTAAAGAATTCAAAAAAAAGCACTGAATGGATTAAGACATGATTGGGTGCGGCTATTGAGCCGAGTAACGTTGGAGTCTTTTGCAAGAATATAGGGCTCGCTCGTTCAGATCACAACTATGGGGGTCAAATTCTTTCTAGGACCCTGTTTTAAAAATATCTTGACTGAAACTGTTTCGCCGGCAAATTAAAATCTGTGCACTTGCGTTTCAATTTGCCTTTTATGTTGTTTTTTATCCATCCCTCATTATTCTAGAAAATCAAGTTTGGAATAGAATTATCTTTGCATAGCATATTGAACGGGAGGCTGAGATGACATTTCTTGTCATCAACATAATTTTACAATTTGGTTAGGAAACAGATATGTTTGCTAAAAATGTTAGCATGCACGAAAAAATAAACAATATTACAATTTCAATTGTTCGATTTAACTATCCTATATTAAAGTATAAACTTTACTTATTTAGCTGAATAAAGAATTTGTCTTACTGGGTTGCCCTTTAGCCGAATAGATGACTTACTATGGTATAGGTGGAGGTTATACAACTGAGTTGGTTCTGTAGCCATTTCCTAAAAAGAAAATGGTGAAAAAACCCCTTTCTTGATGATTGTTCAAGGTGTTTTTGTTAATCGGGTTATTGGTGCACTTCTAATGGTTGGTTAAGAATCAGATAAAAATCAATCAGCGGTTGAAAAATAACTGCTATTTAGATCCATCTAATTTGTGAAAACTTGAAGTAGAAAAGGAAAGGCGGGAATCTATAGATTTAACAATATAAAGCCATAATTAATTTACCTTGTTAAATGGTTTAGTACGAACAATGTGGATGAAGATTAACACATGCTTTCTTATTGAAAGTGAAACCGTATTTATTTATACCATGAAAAGTTTCAAATGCAAGTTTAGTTTTGAAAATTGTTCTTAACAAAGCAACTGAAATGACAACATTTCTGGAATTCGGTGTTTGATTCCTTGGTTTCGTGGATTAGGTCGACAATTTTGCTTGTCTCTATTTTACCAAGTCCGTCTGTATCTTTGTGTAAATTGTTGCCAAGGGAATAGTTCCTTTTCTGCAGGCAGCTTCTATGGAATAGTGATGCATTAGGAAAAGTATATCGTAGAAAAGTTTTTTGTGTGTTAAAATTTATATTGATCCTTCTTTGTCGATTTCCAGTCGAATCAAAGGTTCCAACGATTTTTTATGCAATATGACTAAACACTTGCGCTCCAACAATCAGCTTTTGTTGCTTCATCTATGTATCTTGAAAAAGAAACGATCTTGCGGATTCAAAATCTTTTACTCGATGTCGATAAAAATGGCATATATGGGCGGCGAAATATTGCTGAAAAGTTTTTTAAAGATTTATATTTTGATCTCTTCATTCACAGGTCAATGCCTGGCTACCTACATGCCCAGAGACCCAGCTCGAAATTGGATGGCGGTTCCGTTTCTTCAAGCCTATATCCCATTCCTTCTTCATTTCATTGGTATCAGCAAGCACAATGGCACTGAGGTCAAGCGAGACACTTAGCTACTGGCAATCAGGGGCCTACCTGCGTGTTGGTGACGTTGATATATCCGTTGTCCAGGGAAAGAATTCATTGGATGTTGATGTGATGGCTAGGCCTAAGTACGTCAAAGGACACAACAGGCAGGCGTATAACATGGGCTGGTGCTTTCTAAGCCGCTATCTATATGTCATACAGACAATTCTGTGTACCTACCCTGCTATTTATTACGAAGTGTATGTTTACAATGTGAAACTCGATCAGTGGAAATTGATGCCACAAGTCGTGGAAGCATACCTAAGAGGCGATATTTCTAAGGATCTATCACTGCAGATGATCCCTGTACCAAGTGAGTCTGAAATATAAGTTTTCCATATATTGCTCTCTATATTATGCAGTCAATTATGCATTTATCTAGGATAAAGCACAAGATTTGCACCAGATGGTCCTTGGATTTGTAAATTACTAACTCTTGACGCTGTTTTTGGTTGCTTAAAAGACACCAGCTAACTTAACCACATCAAGTAATTACTATATATCAATTTTGTCTCACAGCCTAAATGTAATGTTTAGCAGCGATTGCATACGGAAACTCGACTCTGATTACATACGGGTTTTCACGACTCAGATTCATATTGCGAAATATCTATAAAAGCACATAGGTTTTTTAACTCTCAGCCCTTTCATCATCACGTTGCCTTAGGAATAGAATTTCTGTAGTGTTATAAGGACCCTTAAAGTGGTAGGTTATCATAACTGTGAGAAATTCACCTACAGGTCAGTCACTCAGTATACGGGGCTCTCAGTTCCTATGATAGTTCGTTTTTGTTGGGTTTGTTTAAAGTCCTGCAAGAAAGACAATCACAGCTCTTCAAAAAACTAAGTAAAAGCAATGTAATGCCAATCTTGGCCAGGTCACACTGGGCGTTGTCACACAATCTTGTGCTGTTAAATAGATCTTGGATCCTGTTTGTCGTTAGAGTTGTATGCCCAAACGGGCATGTGTCGGTATAGATCTGCTTCACGGTTTTATATATCTACACAATCATGTATGCTTGTTTTTTTCTTCAATTTTTGAAACCTTGCTTGCTAATTAACCATTCCACCAGATATAGCATTTCGAGGCTTTAATCATTTTGATCCTTTTTTCTTAGTTCTCTTTAAGTGTGTTTTTAGACATATGTGTCAGGGATCTTGATGAAAGTTTGATGGAGTATTTCTTCCTTTCAATTTAACTGTGCACTAAAGTTATCTATTTAGAAAATATTCTATAAGAATCTCCGATGGCTTTTAAAGAGATTATATTAAGAGATAAATAAATTTTGCTTTGAACTGATCAATCATTCCCGCTGAAGATCTGTTGGCTGCATCTATACAATCATCGAAAATTCAGATCTTAAGAGGGCTTTTCAAGAGGGACAGATTTCCAGAGGACATAGATTAAAAGAGATATAAAAGATTTAAAGTGACGCAATGGTTATGGTATTGAATTACTTGAAGTTTAGGACTATTAAGCCATCACCAACGATTTGGCAATGTCATCATCATCATCATCACCGTCCAAATCGCAAACATCAATGACAATCGTCGTTATAATCAGTCATCATCATAATCATATCCGTCATTGCTTGAAAATTAATTAATTATTGAATTTACTGGAAAATTTTGACACCAACAAGGAAAATGATTTCATATGCTAACAATTCATTTCATGACTTAAAGCATGATGGTCGTGCGTATAGGGTATATCAAAATTCTTATTCAGCATATGTTACGTAAAATGCCATCTGTTACCATTTTCTTACTTTTCTTTCATTTTCTTTAAAGCTGAAGATAAAGCAGGACAAAGATCGAAAATTCCTCAGGATATTTGTGATTGGCTGATGGATTGCTCTGGTAAAATTTACATCTTATTTATGTTACAATTATGTTTTCATATTGCTCGCACTTTAATCGGACCTTGATGTTGCAAGTATATGCATAGTTGAGTAAAATTAACTGAAAAACTGGATTGCAACTAAGGGCCTATTTTCACGAGATCGGATCCAAACGGATCCGTACCCAAAGTGGTACGGATTGGTTTTCCGTTTACACGGGACCTGTAAACGTATCCAAACAGGTACGGATACAAAATAAGGCGGAAGATATTCGAGGTACTTCGTAAAGGTTTTGGTTGGACTGCTGAAAGTTGTGCTGAAAAAATAAAATAAACAAAATTAAAGGAGCATCTTATTTAGAAAAAAAAAACAAAAATATGAAGGCAGTTACAATAGCTTTCAATCGCTAGAACGGACCAATTATTTTCTCCCTTCTGAGGCTGCATAATTGCCGCCAAAAATTTCAATATTGGAGTGAGCACATAAATCCGCGCATCTTGGATCCATACAAATCCGATCCCGTGTAAACACCCCTTCAAGAATGAGTTCGGATCCAAATAGATCCGATACTGTTTGGATCCGTTGCCGTTTAAACCGGGCCTTAAAGGCTTGATGACGCTCTTGGCTCTGACGAAGTACGTTTTGTTACGTGGTGCCACTGAATAGGGTAATTTGAGTAAGATGCTGTAGCCAATGATGTGTCAATGATGCCCTGAAGTTATTGGCAGCCAGGGATAATGAGTCAAAATAAGTTGATATAACTGTCCTTTACTCAACCGGTGATTACTAGAGAAGTTTAGTTTTTCTTTATGAATCCCCAATAGCAGTGCCACGGAGGGGACATGCCCCCCTCCCCCAGTTCTCGGCAGGATCAATTTTTATTTCTTCTAAATTCGATGAGGAAATGTTGTGGGTGGGGAAATATTTTTCCAAATAATTTTTGTAATGTAATGTTATGATTTTAAAACAGTCTTTACGTAGCCAAAAGTTGGTCGTTGGATTTCCTTATTGGTAAAGTTAGCATTCCTTGTTGGTAAAGAAGCGTTTTCTGTCAATAAAAAGGGCGTGGCCTAAACTTTTGTCCCCTCCTCTCAGAGCCTACTGAGAAAGCGTTTGTATGAAAATTCATTAAAAGTGTTCTATCTGGACTGACGACCAAAAGGAGCTTTTGTTACTTGTGTATTTTACGATGAAAAATACCAGCACTAATTCTGCTCATTTGGCTAGTTTGAAATGCTCATTTGGCTAGTGCGTAATGAACTTTGCTAATTTCTCTTGTGCTAGTTCCTTCATTTATGTCAGAATAGATCTTCTCTTCTCTTTGATATCTGATTCAGATCTTATACAGGATCAAGTTTTTGGAGATTCCCATATGATTCGTATTTGTAAGTGACACTCGTCACTCATATACCATAAGTTTCAAACTATTAATAAAAGTAATAAGGTTTGCAATTTGCATTGTAGTTTTATTCGAGATAGTGTTTTATTCGAGATAATCTTTAACCCATATAATCCCATATAAAAGAACCGCTAAAATCCACTATGTCCCCAGCAGTCAATTGAAACTGCCAGCTTGGCCCTCATATGAGCCACCTTCCAACCTAGATAGTGTCGTTTGGCATTGAGACCCTTTAATCTTTGCTAATTCTTTGCAGCTCATTGTGTGATTTACATCAACTATGACGCTGACCACTATAACGAGGTTCGCTGTCTTCTCTACCACATCGAAAGCGCGGGTTATGTCTGTGTTTGTCAGCACGAAATTGTTGAGGATAAAAGAAGCGAGTGCTTTGATAGAGCTGGACTAATTTTGCTGCTTCTTACCAACAAGTAAGTTGAATATATATATACATTTATATTACGCATTAAGCGATCTCGATTGCTGCTAGACTGGAAGGCAACCGATAAAAAGGGCACATTGACAATAGCTATATTGGTAAATTTAACACGAAGACCTATATCAAATCTCTAACAAAGGGAGGGAGGGGAGGCTTAGGAAAATGAGGGAATTGAGATCAATTTACTTAGTTTCAATAGGAGACAGGTTATAAGAATCTTGGATAATGAGGTCTCGCAAGGCCGAGGAATGCGAGGAAGGTCGTTGAAAGCAAAATTTTCAGCAACTACCGTCATATTGCAACTTGGTTTCGTTGGTTTTTCTAAAGAAGGTTTTCGAAGTATTGGCTTTTTGACCAGAGGAAGGATGAGCCTTTTTCCGCTCGCGGTCCACCCCGGCGGGTTCACTTTCATATGACCCTATACACCACGTGAGTTCCAAAAATCTCTGAGAAAGGGTCATTAGTTTGACACACAACTGGGACATAGATTTTCAAAAAGGGGTGTTTCTCAAAAACATATTCAGAGATTTTGGTAAAAAGGGTCAAATATCTTAAGTAAAATCTACATTTTTCTTTTTATCAAATCTATTGCCAAGGTTGATGGGGCTGATTTAATTTAAGATTTTTTTGTGTCAGAGAAAAGGGGTGTAACATACCCAAATATAAGGGTGTGTTACGATGCCGGTTATATAAGAGATAAAAGGGTAGAAATCCATTTTTGGAACCCACATGGTGTATAGATTGTTCTAGAAGTGAACCCACCGGGGCAACTTGAAATAGTAAAATAGTGAAAATTTACCTGGTAACGTTAACGAAAGTTTCCAACCGCGAGGAAGTGCATCCGCCCTTCCCCTCGTTATAAAAGCATTTCAACTCTCTTTTGCTACCAAGAAGGAGTGTACATCTTACTAAGGCAGTAGCTTAATATAATTTGAAACCGTAAAAACACTCATTTTTTTAATAAGAAACAAAGGTCGATGTTGAGTACTCCAGTTACTTAATGTTCTGGAAATATCAATACTCATTGTTTCTTCAGAGTTTCTTAATTATGATGTCATGAATGGTGTTATGAAATGTTCGTGACCTTTTTTATCATGTCAAGAGATTCGCTTCCGTTCTGATACTGTATTTAGATGTGGGAAGTGTATTTTTAATTAAGTTCTACGCCAACAGGGAAATTATGTTCTTGGATTGACAAAATTTCGTTGTTTCTTAATTTTTTTGCTTCGAGTATTGAAGTTTCTTAATTTTTTTCTGACTGTCCAATACTCGTTTCTTATAGCCAGTTTCTTATAAAAAAATGATTGTATGTAAAGTTAACGGTGCTAACAAGAAAGCAAGGCTTCGCACAACTTATCATAGCAGCCACTCCCGATAGCACCATATATTTTGGCCATGAAATGATCTCTGGCTATGACTGACCTCTCTAACGAGGTTACCTTGAGTGTTTTGAATTCAAAGCATTCAATTTACACTCTTTTTTTACAAGAACCAGTAAATTTAAGTTCAGGCTGACTGTTCTTAATTTTTTCGAAAATCTGAGGCTGGATTGTTCTTAATTTATTCTTAAATTAAAAGGGTGTAAGCTGTGCTATTGCTAGCTTTTTCGCTCTAAGGAGGTGTTCAGGCATTATTTGCCAACAAAGTGAGTGAGACAGCCTTAATTTGCTGACAAATTTGAATATTCATCGAAAAAGCACCCACACATCGCTAAAAATCCTCGATTTTGAGAAAAATCGTTGTTCAAAATTGCATTTTGCAGAAGCTCAGCCTAAGCTTGTTCTTAATTTGTTCTTAATTTTTGACCAGTTTTGAGGCTTGTGTTCTTATGAAAAAAAAGAGTGTACATTCCAGTGGATCTTTTAAATGTAGGCCTAAACCTCTTAAGACTCCCGGTAGCTAATACAGTCTTTTGTGACAGAAAGCAGTCAAGCCTTTATTGAAATCTATTCTGTATACATAAAAAGTTATTCATTCTTATTCTTGAGCTTTTAAACATTTTGAGCTTTTATTTTCATTTTTTTTCAAAGATTGTTTTAATTTAAAAGAATTGCATTCTTGCCAGCTATTTTTTATTTTCATTTTATCGGAACCACACTTTTAAGAACAAAACTCTGTCACCGCTATTTACAACAAGTATTGATATGGTCAAAAAGGTTGAGCTAACGTCAAAGGGCTTTTTATTATTCAAATCAAATGTTTTGAATTCTTTGATGATACCAAATGAAGACAAGAATACAACATGTTGAGTCATAGTTCAATAGTTGTGGCCTTCTGTGTGGTCGACGTGTCGGTTATTTGCCTTCTGTTGGATACTGCTTTATGCAGTTTTGGATCATTAATGCTCTGGGAAAATTTTAATTCAACGTCCAAGGAGCAACGAAATATACCAGCCCCTTGAGTTACATTACAGTTGGTTCGTTTTCAAGGTCTGTTGGTGATTTTTTCCTTTAAATCCTCACCTTTCGACATCACTTCAATTTCTTTGTTATTTTTACTGTCGATGGTCTACCGTATGTCAACCAATGCTTTTATATCTCACTAAAGAGCGTTTCAATATCCAAATCGCAAAATTCTTCGTGTTATTACAATCCCTTTCAAGCCGAAATTATCTGCGGAAAAATGATCCAGCTTTGCTAATGTTGAAATAACGATCGGACAATTACTTTTAATAACAAGCCCTTTTAAGATGGTATACTTCCATTGAGTCAGGCAAGACAGTTTTAAATTAACCTCTTAAACGCGACTACACAACAGCCCTTTGCCCTTAGCGGAGCAAAAGACCTAATTTCCTTGTACGCCTTTAACTAGACTTTGATGCGGACGTCTTTTTACCGGACACATTTACTGACACGTATCAATAATCATTTATTACTTGTGCATACAGTACATCACGCGCTAGTTATCAACAGTGTACATATCCGACTCTTTTTGGCAGAATAAATTTTATAGAAATATTGAGGCTCTTATTTGGTAAAATTTCTAATGAATTAATAATAATAGCGTGGCTTTCATGAGTTTTTGAGTGAGGAAGACCAGTCTAACCTTCGCACAAACAATTATAGGAACAATCTTCAAGCTTGTAATGTGCTAGTATATTTTGTTTTCTACGATGTTTTCGAGATGTAGGACGGCAGAAGCTAAAATTTAAACATTCTTCCTAATAATTATTAAGAAATGATATTAGGCTACAAAACACCGTTTTTGAGAATATGGGTGATTAAGAAATTCTTTTTTGTAAAGAGGTTTTAGGCCCACGTGTCTAAATGGTTCTGGTTGGCTTCTTTTTCATTATTTTCAGTTTTGTAAATAATTGTTTTATGAGTTAATATTTGTCTCAGAAAACAACGAATGGCATTTCTTTTCTCCAAATTCATTGTTTTTATCTAACAGTTTGTGGCCCGGTTCGAGTGCAAATCAATTAGCTTCAAGCAATAAACACACAAAACACGACATAGTTTTCCAACGCAAACCTTTATAAAAAAACCAAATACTCTTTACAACTCCTTAACTTGATTCGAACAGTCCCTCTCTCTAACTAACTAAAAAGTCCTCTTCCTGGGGGTAAGTCAGTTCTTGTAATAATGGTTAAAAGGGGGGTTTCCGGAGAGCTCCCCCCACAAAATGAATGTCTTCTGGACATTTCAGTCTCCGAG